GGGGTAATAAGGGGAGAGACTGCAATCAGGTTAGTACAAAATAAAATGAGTAAAACAGAGTATGGTTAAACCTGAAAAATTAAACGCAACAAAACAGCGAACGTGTCGGCAGAAAGCCTTCGTCAGCGAACAAAACAACAGAAAAAACGTTATAAAAATAAGAAATAGCACTTAGCTGGTAAGTAGTATCTGTGGGCACATTTGGCTTGGGCTAAGTACATTTGTATCTCGGTAATACGAAATACCCTAAAGCGTATAGAAGCTGCAGATGATCACTAGGACGTAAACAATGACTGAGAATGTACGGAAAAATCAAGATGCTTCGTTTTCTTCGGCAATGGTGGAAGTTGAAAACATCACAGATATAGAAGAAATGAAAATCACACTACAAAAGCTATGTGACGAAGAGGTAAAATTAATGAATAAGCTATAGCGGCTATACGCTGAGTTATACGTCCAAGAGTCCCTTCTTATTACTTATTAGATTTTGATTTATTATTCTATTTTAGTCTAGCTAATTAGCTAAATGATATTCGTTGGCATGCTTTTTGTCACGGTAGTTTATTTTTTATTTTTAAGTTTACAAACACATAGTCATAGTCCATTCAATTACCCTTCATTTAATACCAAATTTTGTCTTACAAACCCTACAATAATATTTTACGAAGTGTCCGGCGCGCTGGACAAATAGTGTGGGAAATATACGTCAGGTGAGTATGTCATATTACCGCCGGACGACTAGTAGGCGTTATTATTCCGAAGGAAGTATCTACTAAGAAGCTGTGGTGCGGTCATGTGGTAGAGTGGCCGCTTGACGATATTATATTTGTGGATCGATTCCCCGCATGGAAATCCTTTTTATCCTCATTTTAATTAAAAATATTTTATATTATTATATTTATATTATCATGTTCATCAGCAACAGTAGTTTTATGAGAAGTTTTAAAATATTTTGTAGCAATTTAAACAATTTAAAATGTTTACTTTACAATTTAAAATCTTTTACTTTTATTGGTTGCCTACTCCATACTGAATACTGGCCCCTAATTATATTATGGGTTACTGGTACACAAACTCAAATAACAAACTAAACAAAAATGTTTACAAGCCACTTTCACTTCAGTTTTTTTCTATTATTTGCATGCAAGATGTACATTACTTGGTAGAGAAATAGATTTTAAAATTAACAATAGTTTTGAATCATTCGCGGGCACGTGACAAGGCTGATGGACAAAATATCTCTCGCCACTTTATTACGGCGGTCATGTTACTTGGTCGCTGGACGAATATCTCGATAAAGTATTCTTCCGGCGGTCATGTGACTTGGTCGCCGGACAAATAGTGCGGGAGATATACATCTGGCGCCGGACGTATAGACACTGCCAATATTTTAAATATTTTTAAATAAACCCAACCTCTCACTTCTGATACCCGGGGCCTGGTCCAAATATCCACAGCCATAGGCTAACTATATAAATGATAGCTGCTAGATCATAATTTAAGATACCTGCCTATGCCTATTATATTAGTATTTATGCCTTTTACCCGGTCTGGGGCAAAGGCCATCCACAAGAATTTTCCACTCATGACGGTCCTGTGCTTTCCTTTCCAATTGCTTCTAGGTGTATCCCATATTTTGAGTGTCTGCCACTAGCTCGTGTCTCCATGTATACTTAGGCCTTCCTCTCTTTCATTTTCCCTGTGGATTCCATGTTAGGCATTGTCTGGTGTTGCTATCTGGGAGTGGGGGTTTCTGGGCGTTTTCGGAGACTATACCCTATCCATTTACCCTCTAGTCTGTGCTTACATTTATATCATTTATATAAATATAAGTATAAGCCCTACAAGTAGTGTCGGGACAGTCGTGTAAGTATATTACAGCGGAGATTTAATAACGTGATCCACAGTATAAAGCGAATCCCTAACTTTTTTGTTTCAAAAAGCCCTAAAATGCCATGGCCATGTCCATATAATAATGACAAACGCTTGACTTTCCGCACCGGGATGTGGGACCCTATTGTTTATTCTTGTAGTGTTACTAGAGTTAACTTTTCTATTTTTAATATTAATAGCCAGTCTCAGATTGAATATTTTTTAACTAATATTTCATTGGCAATTTGGGTGGTTAATTTTAATATTTAAAACAAGTTTTAAAATGAGGCTAAATTTTTACAGCATACATGTGTAAATTGAAGGAAGGGAGCAGCCGCAGGTTGTTGAAATTTCTTGCTACATATCTAGAGGGATACAATAAAAATAAAGTTGCTACATTGGCTACATATGGTGGAAAAAAGAGTGTAAAAGTGTATTCTATGAAACTTTAAGTTGGGTTTTCATTATTCTAAAGTGTTTAAAGTTGAGGGAAGGGAGTGACCGCAGGTTATTTACACCTTTTTGCTGCATATCTAGAGGGATACAATAAAGTTGCTATGTTCACTGTGAAATTAATGTAACGGCTGAAAATTACATCAGGAAAAGGGGTGACCATAAAATTTTAACGCTTTGCTCCTATTTTCCGTTCTCTCTGTGAGTAGTTAGAACAACTAATTCTCTCCTTTTCCCTCCCTATTTTTCTTTTTATATAGCTGTTAACTTGGTTGCTATGACAAAGATGGCGGCGTTGGGGGAAAAAGTAATGCAAAAACATGGTGGAATAGGGGGGAAACATCAAGCTTACGATTACCAATAATGTTATATATAAATATTGTCCATAATAACAAACTTATATTTATACAGACAACAGGAGTAACAAAATAAATTTTTATATTTAATAAAAAATGTCAAATCCTTGAAATTATAATAATATTTAAAATGGACTGTGGTCATAACAAGACAACTATGCTAATATCCATTTAACATCCATTGAACATTACTTTTCTTATGCGCATATACTATATATGATGCACATTTGGTTACAGAATGTAAATGAGCCAAGAAGAATTGGTTGCATTAGTAGTCATATATAATATTATTAACCAGTGATGAAAAAATTCATACACATGTGTATTACGCAAACCCCTAATTTAAATAGCTTTTTTATCTTTAATTTCGTGCGTTATATAGAGGCACCTATGGGCTGCGGCCCTGGTACAAATTGAGCACAGAGATGTGTATACTTCAAGTACCACTATCGTTAAGTAATTTAATGTAGGCTTAGACCCCATAGCTCTATTTCATCCATTGGTGGCATTCAGCTGGTTTGCATTGGCTCAGCAGTATAATTACCTAATATTTTGTTGATTTTGGTAAACTCGTTTTTCAATTCTAATCACTAATTGCACTTTTAATCAGAGTCCACTAAAAGGTGGGTGCCTGGGCAGCCACCCAATGTTGACCTCACATATTTATTTTAACATAATTTGTCATAATCTACTTATGTGTACATCTTTTATTAAAGACTTTCTCTCTACTTGCATTTCCATCTTGTAGAGGGTAATCTTTTTTAACAATTACAAATTTACTACTAAAAAGTAGAAAATAAAAAAATATTTTTAAAACTTAAAAAAAAAAGCATTGCTATCAAAGACTAGTTAAAAAGTGCTTAAAAACAGAAAATAATTTAAACTTTCTTAAAAACGCTTTATGCTAAGAAAGTCTGTACAGAAAATATTTTCAAAAATTAATTAAAGTAAGACATATTTTGAAGTCTCGTCTACATTCTATTCTAATCCTTTGGCTTCATAGAGTGCTAATCTATTAGGGCCTGATCCTTATAGTTATAAGCTTATAGTCATAGAATACATAGACTAACTTATAATAGGCATATGGCTAATAAATAATTATTCATGCCATACTCATAGGCTATATGTGAATTAATGAATGATATCTAAACTATCTACCAAAAATACCTTACTGCACTAACACGAGCAAAGAAAATCTACAGAGAGTATGTAAATTCGTCATCATGGCCACAAGCCAAAAGGGGCATGCCCAAATGGCCACTGGATCTGAATGATGAGGATGAAAGAGTAATATCTAATTGCTAAAATTATTATGAGTATGAGACTTCAGTTGACTCCTGATGTTAATTTCAGAATGTGATGGAAGGTCTAGTTAGACTTAAAATTATTTTATTTCTCATGGTTATAAATTTATGATCAGAAAGGTCACTCTTATTGGTAGGGGCAGGAGATGATTGGAGATTGTTTTCAAATCATTTTGAAAATGATATTGTTACGCACTGGCTTCTAATATGAGAAATTAATCTCCTATTTTAATTTTAATTGGCTCGTTGTAAGCAGTGCCTAACAAAGGACGATACCATAGAGTCAACAATATTAAAGATACGACACCCAAAACAGTTTCTAGTTACAATTAATAAGATTGAATAAGTATTAAATGTCTTTACAATAGAAAAGAAATATAATTACAAATCATCAACTTACAGTATGGTAGATGTTGTACTGGTACACAGTTAACACAGTTAGAATAATGTGCCAATGAATAATGATGAAATGCGCAATAAACACAAATATAAGAACACTAAGAATAATACACGCCTCGTAAAGTTAATAATATCTATCTGAATCTCCGTCTCTCCGTCCGTGCCTGTCAATCCCTTATATAGGTCGTGTAAGCCCTGCCTTCCAGAAAGACTTATGACGTGTTGTTTACATATCTCGGGTTATCGAGCACATTCGAGAAAATACCAGGAAGACAGTCTAACATGTTTAATTGGTAAACACTGTTGTAAATAGGATACATCAAAAGAATAGGCCACGCCCACAACAGACCGCTAACGTCTACTAGGGATCTAATTTAGGTCAAGTAAAATTCAAGCACACGGAATGTATGCTACATAACAATATTCATATTTTCAAATTAATCATCTTTATTTTATTTTTGTCCTAATTTTGTTGTTGTTGAGATTTTATAATACTGAATAGCTTTAGCCTAAGGGCATAGCTATAATTAATTAATTTTTCCTAACTAAATTAACATTCTCTGCTCACTTTTCTAACAATATTTAAGATATGACCTCTTTTTTTTTATTTTTATTAAAAATTCCAATTTTAGTATTAATTTACTAAACTAATTAATCAAAATCTGGGGAACTCTCATCCCATTTACAAGACTTTTCCCTCGCAGGTTTTCACGTTAAATTACTGAACATTATTAATTTTATACTGAACATTGTTAATTTTATGTTGATTTTATATCTAAAAGTAAACCAATCTACTACAATGGTTCAAACAAAAAATTAGACATCCACAAATTTTATTGTAATATGTTTTTGTTTAATCAAAATCTATATCAACCGTTTCAGATTTCAATTGATGATGAGCTAAAGACCCTTTTGGATCATCAAGGCATCTTAGAAAGTAAAATGTCAAGTTTGCATAAAATGATGTAAGTAGCAATCAACCATTCTTTAAATACATTGCTTATCAAGTTTACAGCAAATTTTTGTTTTATTTTTATCAAGAAATATGTTTCTCTGATAAAATTTTCCTAAATATTATTAGTGATAAGCTAATGCAAAGTCTAAGGTTCCAGTCTTCTACAACAGTTGTTTTTTTGTTTTTTTAAATCAAATATTTTCTAAAGGCATAAATTAAAGTTCTTTTTCAAATAAAATATTTACATGGCATGTTTGTTTTATTTTTATTTTGTTAAAAGTATATGATAACAAAATGGTTGTTTTCAAAAAGGCCCGGTCTACAAATTCTGGAAGCAGATTCCAAACAACTTTGTGGCATGATCTCATTCACCTCGACCCTTGCAGAAAATGTGAGCAGTAAAGTCAGGAAACTTGACCTTGCCAAGGTAACAATTAACTTGACCTTGCCAAGGTAAAATTTAACTTTACCTTGCCATGGTAACATTTAACTTGACCTTATCAAGGTAACATTTAAATTGACCTTATCAAGGTAACATTTAACTTGACCTTATCAAGGTAACATTTAATTTGACCATATCAAAATAAAATTTAACTTGACCTTATCAAGGTAACATTTAACTTGACCATATCAAAGTAACATTTAACTTGACCTAATGAAGGTAACATTTAACTTGACCATATAAAAGTAACATTTAACTTGACCTTATCAAGGTAACATTTAACTTGACTTGACTTTATGAAGGTAACATTTAACTTGACCTTATCAAGGTAACATTTAACTTGACTGTATCAAGATAACATTTAACTTGATGTCATCAAGGTAATATTTTATCAAATTTTCTTATTTTCATCTGAAATAAACTTTCCTCTATTATTATTTTAAAAATATATTGGTGCAAAAAATGTGATTATCATTTCTTTTCTCAAAATTAATCTTTCTTTCAGAGCCATGTTGTTGATTGCATGCAGCGTGTTGAGGACATTCTAGATCTAAAGTTTTGCACAGACGGTGTCCAGACTGCATTACAGAATGAGGATTATGAAAAAGTTTGTCAACCATATTTTAGCCTGGAACGTTATTACAAATTCTCTTGATCAGTCATTTTAGACAAGTTTAAATAACATTTGCGATCAAACTGTTAGGGGGGATAGAAATCACTTCATATATATTTGTATTGTGTTCACTTTTTTGTATTATGTTCATTGTGTATAGTTATTGTTTTTAAAAAAATATCATTTTGGTTACAAACTTTTTTTTTTGGTGTTCCTAGGCTGCAGGTCATATTCACAGATTTAGAAGCCTAGATGAAACTGTCATTAGGATGAGTTCAGAAACAAATGAAGGTAGTTGTATGCAAATAAATTATCAGTTTTGCTGTTCAAGTTTAATATTAGTCACCTTTGGAATGAGTCCAAATTATTTTATATTGTTCTCCTCATTACATTTTGATAAAGCTCAAAGTCTAATAATAAGCATGATTCATGAATGAATTTAAGTGTAAAGTTAGATGAAATGAGACATAAATTATTTTGGTGTTTGATTTTTTCAAATAATCGCTCTCACATGGTGTTCAAAATAATCAAAATTTATCTTCCAAATATTTTAATTTTTACCTCACAAAAAAAACAACACCTTCTTTAAGCTGAGCTCTTGCAATATTAAATTTCTTGAGTGTTGCGCTGTTACTGACAGTTTCTTGGTCAAAACATCTGTTGTTGTTGGCAAGCTAAGTTGTGGACATGTCAAGTTCTTAATCAGGGGATATTAATTGGTAATCAAACTGATGGCTGAATAAAGATGAAACATGTTCCCACCAAAGCTGTATATCTATTTATGATTCAGGTGGCAGAAAACTTTATGGCTCACATGTTTTATTGATTACTTTGATCTTTTTGGTGCTTTCTTGGCGACAATAAAGATTTGTCATTATAATCGATTTCAAGAAATAAATTTTCTGTTTAACTGACCCTAACACCTTGCCCATGATGTAAAGCTATAAACTTTGGAAACCGACTAATTTTGAGAACATGAGAAGTTCACTGAATCTACCTTTATTGCATTTGCCCTTGATTTCAGGTTTACTTAGTAACAATTATAATTATCTGATTACTAGGTGGGACCTTGGAAAGCTCATTCAAGATGCTCTATGATGCCGAGGAAAAGCTCAAGTTGATTGTACATAATAAGTTTGATGCAGCAGTTCACCAGGGAGATGTGGCTTCTGTTGAGAGATTCTTCAAAATTTTTCCTCTTTTGGGAATGTTCAGTGAAGGCCTTACAAAATTTGGAAAATATTTGGCAGCTCAGGTAATCCTGATGTTTAAAATGGTCTTCATTTTATTGTAAGCACTTGTATTGCTATGAGCTATGTATTCACATACACATATTTAAAAATATATCCCAAAGTCTCTTTGATTAAAATACGTTTTACTTTGTTGTAGTGTATTAAGGGGTGGATTGATCAAAATAAAATTTGACTGTCCGCTTGTACACTTGCATTTAATTTTTTTAAAGGAATAAATTAATCTCTGTAATTTTAATATAAACTTTTTATCCCTTGGCCTATGGAGTAGTTTATCTTATTTTCAGCTCTCAGAGAAAGCTGATGGAAATATGAAAATAGCACTTTATCCAGACTCTACAGACAAGAGAGCTCATGTTATGTTTGCTGACATGCTGACGCTCCTCTTTGAGAGTATAGCACGTGCTGTGGAAATACATCAGCCACTGGTGGAAACATATTATGGTGGGTGCTTCAATGCTAGATACAAAAGTTGTTTTTAAAATTGAGAATTGTTAGTGTATATTTTATCGGATTTCATATCAACCATTTTCTTTATCATAAATTATTATAAATATCCTTGAACTTCATGATTCTGCAGTTTATATTTTATGACTTCATTGTCCAGGTCCTGGTCGACTCTTTCCGTTGTTGAGTATTTTGCAGAAAGAATGTGACAGGCAATCCAGGAAAATTTTTGAAAACTTTAAAACACACCGTGACTATTCTGGAAAAGTGAGATGGACTATTAGTTTATCTTTTTGTTATTTATCTGGGTTATTTTGTTTATTTAGAAGTAACAGTTCTGTAGTATGAAACAATATATATTTATGTATTTTTCTTCTCCCTTTTTAATTTTAGCTTTAATCCTAACTTATCAGCTGAAATATCATATTGATTTTATTATGTACAGGTGAGAAGAGTACAACAAAATCTGTCAACAGTAAAGACATCAATGGACAAGTAGGTTTCTTAAAGCTTATAACAAACTATTACAAAGTTCTCACTATTGTATACAAGAGCAAGCCTTTATTAACTAGTGATTCACTTTATCTTGCTGTTTAATTCCCAAAACTATTGTGAAATTAATTGCTTAAATGGCTAAGACTTATAAACAAGTTATTTTATTGTGATATCATAATATGCTTTATCTGGGCCATCTGGCAAAAGCTATTGAGGAGAGGTGGATCAAATACTTACATGACTAAGACTTATAACAAGTTATTTTATTGTGCTATCATAATATGCTTTATCTGGGCCATCTGGCAAAAGCTATTGAGGAGAGGTGGATCAAATAGTTAAATGACTAAGCCTTATAAACAAGTTATTTTATTGTGCTATCATAATATGCTTTATCTGGGCCATCTGGCAAAAGCTAATGTGGATAAGAATGATTAAGTATAGATTTTACAATTGTAAAATATTAAAAATTCTAGTAGGAATTAAAAATTAACGTTTTATTATTCAATTTAATAATATACAGGTCCAACTATTCAAAATTTCAGATTAGATCCTAAAGAATTGGATGTGCTGCTGTCAGAAATGGTTTTACTCAGCTCTAGATCAGAACTCTACCTGAGGTTTATGAGACGGAGAGCAATCGTTAGTTATTTTTCTTGCTAGATCATTTTAGATCAGCAGTTGTAAACTGTTGTGTCAAAAGATTTTAATAGGAATCAATTAAAACATAAGTTACCTGTGGGCGCTTTACCTATAAATTAGTTAGACATGTAATATAATTTTGAGTCCTGCTCTTATTTGTTTATATATTCATACAGTTACAATTTAGACTTGACAGTTCCTTTCAAATAGGCGGTTAATTTACATAAAAATGATAATAATAGTATTTAACAACCAAATAAAAGCAATATATTCATGCATTTGTCAATTCAACAATTTATAAATGAATGTATGAATTTTTTTTAAAAAATGTAAATGGTGTTACAGAATTTTATTAATATTAATGACATATTTGAGTGATTATTTAGTGATTTAAAAAATAGTCAAATCAAAATTTCATATGTATTGGGGAAAAGTGGGGATGGCAGTTAACGGAGAAATCAGCTAAAGCATGTGGCTCATTTTGATTTTCAAGCAATTTTTACACTCATGAAATTTTCAGTGTTTAAGACATTATCTAACAATCAGCGCTTTTTGTGCATAAAATGTAAAATTTAATATTCAATTTAAATATTATTATTAAAATGATATGATTGTTTCAGGGAGATGTTGAAGCCGCCCATGTAGACATCAGTAAACAAACAGGTAGTTTTCAGTGTTGTTATGTCACCTTATTTTTTTTGTCCTGTGTGTCCAAAATATTTTAAGTGAATTAGTTTCTAATTTTGTTGTTGTCGAAATTTTAGGATATTGAATAGCTTTAGCCTTAGGGCACAGTTTTAATAAATTAATATTTTCCTAACTTAATTAAATTCTCTGCTCACTTTGCTAACAATGTTTAAAATGCAATCCCCTTTATTTCTGCAGTTATAACTTCCAATTTAGTATTAAATTACTAAACTAATTAATCAAATTCTTGACATAAGTATTTTTGTTAACTTTGTTTTGAGCTAATATAGCATACAAATTCTAGATATTTTAAACAATAATGACTTAAACAATTAAACTGACTGCTTCAATATGTATTTTGACAACAGAGGACTTGAAGGAAGTGGACAGGTTTTTTAGCTCTTGTGAACTAAGTAGAATGGTTCAAGAAGTTATTGGCAACTACATCATGATGGAAGAATACTTTATGAGAGAAATGATTATCAAGGTGGGTCAAAGAAAAACTACAAGGCATTAATATGAAAACTGGTCTCTGCAGATTACCATCATGAAAGAATGATGGATGAAAATTGGATTTTAGTTGATACCATTATAATTCTGTTTATGGTAATATTTTATGACTGTATGGATTATAAATGATTCACAGGCAGTGAGTATGGATAGTTCAGAGGAAGGACAGCAGACGTCGAGCATGGTTGACGACACGTTCTTTATTGTCAAGAAATCTGTCAGGTTGTACTATAGATTTTTAGCACTAATCATGGCAGGATTATTTTTATTGTGTGTGTGTGAGGGGGGGGGGAGTGTAGTAGGTTTGCAGGAGGGCCCTAGTACTATTATTAATCGTGGAATGATCTCAGTGGACCATGGGATGATCCAATAACTTTATTATTTCATTGTGGAAAAGTGCCAGAGGACACATGCCACTGAGGCGTCTCTCTCAATCTGCCCCTGTCCCGAGAAATCTTTGTAAATATATCTAATCAAATGAAAAATATTTTCTAATGAAAATTTTAAAAATAAATAAATTAGCCACAAAATGTAAACAGTGTTTTGTCCACTTCTTGCTTTTAATTGCATATTTTTCATATGCAGGAGGGCAATTTCCAGCTCCAGTGTTGATGGTGTCTGTGCAATGCTGAACCATGCCTGTACAATCTTAGAACAAGACTTTGGTTCAGTTCTCTTAACTCGACTGCGAGCTGGATACCCATATGGTTTTGACTTGCAGCATGCTTATAACATTGTACAGTCAAGTCTTCAACATGGGAAACTGCAAAGTTCAGACTCGGAGAAGAAGCTAGCCAGGGCTCAGTTTTTGGTGAGACTTATCTTTCACTCATTGCACTCTGTAGCATAGCCAATGGGGAAGTAGAGGTGGGGCCCACTGCCCCAAGACCATTTGACTAAAGTAGTGCCCCATTTCCCCTATTTTCTTATTTCCCCCACCCCTTTGATTAAAGTGATGGCATCCCTTTTGGCACCCATACTGGTCTGCATGCCAAGGATACCCCCGTGCCTTTGGGTGTGTGTGGGCCTATTTAGAATTTTTGCTCCCACTTGCATCAAAACCTGGCTATGCTGCTGATGGCACTTAAATTCCCTCAATACTTATTGGAGTCACTCTTGTTTGACATTGCTAGGTTCATAAAAGACATGTTCACTTTAATAACATAGAAGAACAAAACAAGCATGAAAAAAGGTTCCATTGAGTGATAAGCAGAATGTCAATGTGATTACTTGATACTTTCATTTGATCAAATCCTGTCCAGAGTTAGCACTTGTTTCATGTATTGGTTTTAAGATGTCCATCATATAATTTTTTACCATTTCAACAGACTGCACTCAACAATGCGGAAGTCAGTTGTGATTACTGTAAAGCCTTGAAAAATAACCTTGAGGTAAATAAAACTTTTAAATATGTTTTGATTCTTTAGGTTAACAAATCAAAGTAGGAATCACAATATTTATCCAATTTAAAAAGATAATCTGTCTTTGAAACAGTCTGGGAACATGAAAAATGACTTTTTTGTTCAAGGCAAGGGCTCTTAACCAAAGCTGCGGGAGGCATTGTCAGGGGTGCAGGACGACCTGTTTTATTTCTTTGCATTGGTTTTTGGTCATTTGGGTCGGGGTGCATTTTTTTTGGTCATTTGGGTAGGGGTGCATTTGTTTCTGGTCATTTGGGTAGGGGTGCATTTGTTTTTGGTCATTTGGGTAGGGGTGCAGGAAATATGTTTTGAAATCGAGATGAAGGTTTGGGGAAATGTCTTGAAATCAAAGAGTGGGTGCAGGGCTAAAAAAAAGTTTAAGAACCCCTGGATTAAGGTGTCTGTAATATTTCCTTAGCTTGTGCGGGGGCGGGGGGGTGTGGGGGGGAGGGGAATTCCAAGATTCACTTTTAAATCTCTTTGCAAAAAAAGGCATTTTATTTTTTACATTGACGTTTGCTATGAGTTCTTGTAATACATCTCACTTGAACATCTCAGGAGGATATTTCCAAGCTTTATCCACAATGTACAGAACAGAGTAAAGCAAAGCTTGAGGTCAGTCAGTCAGTTACTATTTCAATGGTATTAAATTCTGATGAAATAGGAATTACGTTCTTTACCAGTGTCATGCAAAGTTAGAATTAGACTGGTCATATATATATATTTGCAAAAATAGTTTGTCATTTTCATGTAGAGTATATACTGTTATGACCGCATTCCTTAAACTGAAATAAATCTGAAGGTGCGCTTGCCAACTGTAAACTATATGGGAATTAAGAAACTGTTAATTAGATGAGAAATTTGTTGACAATGTAAGGATGCAGGTTGATTACAGCCATAATTTAAGTCAAACTGATGAAGTTTTTAATCCACTACATGGTTATTGTATAATGTTTATACACAACGTAGTTACTGACTCTTCATGAATTCTTTGAATAATATACAAATAATAACTTAAACTTCTAGATTATAATATCTTGGTTGATTCAGTCTGTGTATGTTTGTGCCACACTCGTTGACAGTAATCTCAAGGGAAAGATTGAATTCAGTATAGAGAGCACACTTATATTTCCTGTGTGTGTTTAAGAGTGTGTGTAGCACTCCTTGATAGTAGTCTCAAGGCAAAGATTGAATAATTCAGTATAGAGAGCAATCAAGGTTTCCTGTGTGTGTTTAAGAGTGTGTGTAGCACTCCTTGAGAGTAGTCTCAAGGGAAAGATTGAATAATTCAGTATAGAGAGTACATCAGGATTTCCTGTGTAAGAAAACAGGGATTCTTCAGCCCTAGCTTGTATCTCATTTGGAATCCAAAATGGCTGCCTAATTTGCAATGACATCATGTGATGTATGTTAGACTATAAGTCAAAAATGTCCATCAATTTGTATGTTTAGAAAAATTTGCCTCTCTTCTGGTGAAACTGATACCTATTTTAGCCACAACTGTATCTGAAGTTCTTATAATTGTCCGTGTTAGTTGGTGTAAGCACATTCCACATATAGCCTAACTAAAAGTGTATGATATCGCAGAGCTGTCTGAGTGAGGTGATGAGTGTGTCCAATAAGTTTAAAGATATTGTTGACTTTGGCTTCAGTCAACTGGCCACAAGTGCTGTGAAACCAAGGATCAAACCTTTGGTGGACTCATTCTTGTCTACCAGTCATAACATTACAGAGGTAAGAAGTTTGACTTCCACAACCTTGTTAACATTTAACTTTTAAAAATAAGCATAGAACTAAACGTCATTAAAAGGGAATATTTATTATAGCCTATAACATTATTTCAACATGTAAATTAATTTATTTGAATTTAGCGTCTGACTTGCATATCTACCGACATTTGTATTCACTGATGTAATCACAATTGTAAATAAACTACAAGAACAAAAATTATATTTTTACTGTTTCTTTAAAATATATTTTTAACACAGGAAGAGTTTTCCAATTATGAAGCTAATGATCCATGGGTGCAAGGTTTCATATTGAGTTTGGACACGACACTGTCGACTTTCAAAGTAAGGCCTCAAACAATTTGTTGCTGTTTTGTGTATGTGGGTCTTAGTCCATTATTTATTGACACCTTTTCAAACCCAGTAGGACACTTTTAGTAGGACACTTTTAGTAGGACACCATGTATTATAAACAAACAGTTGAAAAGAAATTATTTTTAAATTGTCACATATTAAACATTTTCTCCTTAGCCTACTATTGATGTCACCATCTCATCTGCCTAACCTACTACTGATGTACCATAGCGATCTCATCTGTCTAACCTACTAACTATTGATGTAGCAATCTCATCCGCCCAAGCAAAGAATCATAACTCAATTTGACATTAATTTTGAAGATAAAAATTAGAAGATTTCATTGCTTTATTTTTGATAATTATAATTATGAAAATAAATTAAATTATCATGGTAAAACTCAAGTTATTAATATACAATCAAATTTAAATATTATCTCAAGTTGAGCATCAGTACTTTCATCAGTTTAGGCACCATCAGCATTGACCGCTGAGTTTTCCCTCAATATCTTCCACGTTTCAGCAACACTCTTCCAATACATTCTATATCAGTTTGTTCAACAGTTTTATCATCTAAGCCTGCTAACAATGATCACAAGATCTTGGAAAGTCATGCTAAATATAACTTAGTTACAAAAGCTAATATAAACATTCAGATTTCTCCACTAAGAAGAGCAACATTCTTACAAGAATGGCAGTAAACTCTGCCACCATGAGTGTGTTTTGTACTGGTCGTTTGTTTGCTTTTGGCCCGGAACAAGAATAATAAAGTCAAATATGCTAGTGGTTTGTAAGACAGAAGATGCTAGAGCAGTGTTTCCCAACATGGGGTCCAGGGCCCATAGGGGAGCAATTTGATTGTTTGGGGGGGGGGGGGGGGTGGGGGGCAATTTGAAAATGAGCTGTGTAGAATTTGAAAACCAACTGTCTTGAGGCGCATTTGTTGGCCAAACATAGTTTCAAACATTAAAGAAAAAATTTTGGAAAAAGAACAACCTTCAAGTCTCTGTTTACAGCTCATTCTGCAACTCTCAATCGTACTCTTAAGGCTACCTATGAAATTTCTTTACTCATAGCTAAATCTGGGAAAAATCATAATATAGGAGAGAATTTAATCAAACCATGAATATCAGCATTTCTTAAAACTGTTCTGGAAAAAGAGGACAAAGACGTGAAAGCTACGGCACTCGGTAACAATACTGTTAGCCACAAAAAAAAAAAAATGAAATGAGAGAAGAAATACTGCTTGTTAAAAAGCTGAAAACAAAAAATTCTCAGTGCAAATGGATGAATCAAATTTGAGAGACAGTGAGGCCGTACTGATAACTTAAGATAAAGGAGATTTGGCTAAAGGAATATTGTTTTGTAAATCATTAGAAGGCCCCACTACCGCCAAAGACAGATTATATAAGCTAAAAAGTTACTTAGATGTCGATAATATACCAAATTAAAAAATAAAATAGATTATCTTGTGCTGCCGATGGTGCTCCTAATATGATAGGCAAAAAATGGCTGGTTTAAAATGATAAAGTAATGAATAATAAAATTAAATGATAAATAATTAAAATATTCGACAAAATCTTTCATTTTGCACTTGAATTACAGTTCTCCATTATATGTTTAAAAACTTTATTGTGTTTCCTTAAAAATTGCTTCGTAAATCCTATTCATTTATAATCCTTTTTCCTTCTTCCTAAAACCTGTTATTTAGTTTTCATTTAGTGAGATTCAATTCAAAATTTAAATATAAAAATTATGTGTGTGTGTCTATATATTTATATATAAAATACGGGCGGCTTAGGAATTTTAAAATGGCTTTTGTGGGGCATGGCACAAAAAAGGTTGGGAAACACTGTGCTTGAGGTTGGTAAGGCAGAAGATGTTACTGATTGGTAAGGCAGAAGAAATCATGAAAATGTGTGGTTGTGTCACTGCACTTTATGCTCAATTTTTGTTAATTGTTTTTTTTAAATTCCAGGAAGCTATGACTTCTGCCAATTATGATAGGTTTGCAACAGCCATGTCAGGGGAAATTACTCAACAGCTGGAGAAAGCTGTCACAAAAACAACATTCAATAGAGTAAGATTGCTGATTGTTAAGTGATTTTTTTCACAATTTAAACATGCCATTACTAATTAAGTGTTATCAGTAAAAATTCACTTAGAAAAATGTTGAATGGCAAGAATGAACCAGTGAGTTAAAAGGTTGAAATTGCTTTCCTCAGTTGGGTGGTCTTCAGTTTGACAAGGAGCTCAGATCTTTGGTTGGCTACTTATCATCAGTGACAACTTGGACAGTTCGAGATAAGTTTGCAAGACTCACACAGATGGCAACTATTTTAAATTTAGAGAGGGTAATATTTCTTTAATATTTTCCTCACGTTATTTCTCACAGTAAGCATTGTTTTAAATGGTTCAATAAACCAACAAAGAGTGTGCAACGACAAATAAAACTGTCAAACACATTTGCACTCATTAGCAAGACTTGGTGTCAATATATGGTGAAGTTAGATCATTAAGTTCATTACTCCATCAATTTGAACTTTGCTGTTATTTTCTAGGTTTCTGAGATAATGGATTATTGGGGTCAAAATTCAGGACCTCTAACCTGGCGATTAACTCCAACAGAGGTCAGACAAATCCTAGCACTAAGGTGAGTTTGCCTACTTTTAATATAGATATCATCCAGTGTAATTTGTATTTTGATCTAAAAGTTAATATTTTATTCAAACTGTTCTTGACTAAGACGTTTTTTTTTTTTTTTTAGGATTGATTTCCGAAGTGTTGACATTATAAGGTTGAAATTATGATTATATAGATATCATCCAGTGTAATTTGTATTTTGATCTAAAAGTTAATATTTTATTCAAACTGTTCTTGACTAAGACGTTTTTTTTTTTTTTTCAGGATTGATTTCCGAAGTGATGACATTAAAAGGTTGAAATTATGATGTGACTGAATTTTTGTGTGTGGTTATTTTTGCAACTTGGATACATCTGTGTGCCGTTTTTAAAATGTATTTTTTTCAAATAAATGGACAAGGCTATGTTGACATTGTAAAATTTTGCATTCCTTGTTGGAAAATCTATATCAACATTTGAGGTATAACAAGTGGGGCATGACTATGTCAACTTTAATTTCTACCATTGTTAGTATGAGACCCATGTCATCAATCTGTATAAATAATGTATGAAATAAAACGCCTGTATTGTTATAATGAAATAATATTCCATGGAAGAAGCTCCAGATACAATGTTTTTTGTCAATCCTCTCTATTTAATTTGAGAGAAATTATTTGGCTTTGTAATTTTAGGGGGTTGTCCTTGTGCTGAGACAGGGATTTTTTTCCTTTTTTTTTTTTAGCTTTGGATATTATCAATTGTTTCGTTGAAGCCTTTCACATGTAGATAGAGTCTAATCAATTGTTGTTTTTTCTAATTGTAAATAAATTTTTGTTGGTCATTTACAAATAAAAATATTTATTAACATTACATGGTGTAATTATTACAAGGGGGAAATTAAATTGAATTTTCAAACTGTTTCTTTGTTACATTTATTTCTTCAATGCCACCAAATATGCACCGTCGTCATTCTGAATCTAATATGCATTATATATAATTAAGGTGCTGACATGAAAAATACTGAAGCTTTTGTTTTTTAAAATTGTTAAACAAAGGTGTTAACAAAACCATGTGCCTCATTGAAGTAAAATGCTCAAAATTTCAGTTTTAATATGTATACGTCTTTCACCGTTGAATGGGGCATTCAATTATAATTTGTTTTCCTAAAGCATTTCTCCCCAATCCCTCCCCCCGAAATCACAGTTTTTAAAAAGAATTTAATTTGGCATATGTTTTTTTACTTATCGCAAAATCAATTAGTACTATTAGTAGAACCCAGTGCATATATTATGTATAAAACCTTTTTATCAATAATGTTGTGTTCCTGTAGGAATTGATCCACTTAGTAATTATTAGTACACTATTTATTGTGCATACACTGTATCCACATGTACCTAAATGTGCAATAGTTAATAGTTGCATCCAATAAGTCTTGTCCCTTCTGCCAACTCTCCATACAGCAGCATCTTTGGGATACAGCCTTCCTCCATTCTCCTTACATGGCCTAACCAGCGAAGACGCCTCTTGCTAAGAGCCGAGAATATACTAAACATTTGTGCATGTTCCAAGACCTCCGTGTTAGGCACCTTGTCCTGCCATCGAATGCGTAAAATGCGATGCAGACGTCTTTGATGGAAGCTGTTGAGTATCCGCTCATGACTAGAATATGTGGTCCACACTTCGCTACCATATAGGAGCGTACTAAGCACACATGCCTGATAGACACTTATTTTTGTTTTATCAGAGTGAGATTATTCCACACCCGCTTATTCAGTTTAGCCATAGTTGCTGCTGCTTTTGCAATCTTTATCTCTTTATCAATGGAGAGAGAACTAGAAATATTGGATCCAAGGTATGTGAAATGGTCAGCTACCAAAATATTATGGCCCTCATTAGATATGATTGGAAGGGGTGGTGCTTCTTGCATCATGTGTTTTCCGTAGACTAATTGACAGTCCAAACTCTTTACAAGCGTGTGATAGACGATTAACCAGCCCCTGAAGACCTTCTTCTGTGTGAGATGTAAAGCCGACATCGTCAGAGAACAGCAGTTCACAAATCAGCACCTTTTTTACTTTGGTCTTTGCACGTAGGCGGGCGATATTGAACAGCCTACCATCAGATCTGGTATGGATGTACACTCCATCTTCACAGTCCCTAAAGGCAAATTGAGTGGAGCATCGAGGAGAAAATGGAGAAGAGTGTTGGTGCCAGTACACAGCCCTGTTTTACGCAGCTGCTGACTGGGAATGCCTCAGAGACAACGCCATTGAAGGTTACTGTGCTGTGCATGTTTTTGTGAAATGACTGGATGATTGTGAGCAGTTGTGGGGGGCAACCTATCCTTTGCAAGATACTGAAAAGGCCTCTCCGACTTACCAAGTCGAATGCCTTTGTCAGGTCTATGAAAGCAATGTAAAGTGGCATATGCTGTTCACGAAATTTCTCCTGCATTTGGCTAACAAGAATATCATGTCTATTGTTGAGCCCACTCCCGAAGCCACACTGGGACTCTGGGTGGAGGCGGTTAGCCAGACTCTGCAATCGTTTAAGGGCAACACTGGCAAAAGTCTTTCCGACTAAGCCAAGGAGCGAAATTCCTCAGTAGCTATTGCAATCACTTTGGTCCCCTTTATTTTTTTACAATGTTACGATGTTGGCGTCTCTCATGTCCTAGGGAATGTGACCTGTTTCCCAACACAGAGATAAATATATATGATCCATAAAATGTTAATTTTATATCAAATCATGTATGTTTTCAAATAATTTTTCAAAGAACTTTAGCAGACAATTTTGTTCCACTTGTTTAAATAAACAAATGTTTATTTTTTCTATAATAAATACATGTTTATAATGTTACAAATATTACAAATGAACAGTATCACAGTCTAATGCTTTAACAATAGTTTTGAAATGAGGCCACCAAATTTTGAACATTAATTTGAAAGACCATTTTAAAGCATAGCAAAACTCTTAATAAATAGAAACATCACACAGGGATTACAAATATTTTTAACATTAACTTGAACAGATAAAAAATGGGGCATTTAAATTAAACAGCCATAAAAGATTTTCCTGGAGGAAGTTTGTTTACTCAGATAACAGTCAGGGTAATATATATCGAACTACTTGATCATCAAATAGAGTCACATATTTAAATTGCAAGCAGCAGAGTTAGGGAAGTCCTGCTTGGTGGAAATTTTGGTAGACTGCATTGAAAATGAGAATTATATCTGAACAGTGGACAATTGTATTGGTCTACACAAACAGTGGGAAATATTTAAATGGAGGGAACACCTTGGGCAACCCATGGTGTAGTTATGGGGACAGCATGGGAGGGATATTCCAACTTTGATACCAGCTATGAGGTGCCAGGAGTATATTGGGTTGAATTTGCCAACCAATCTTGTAAAATAGAGACAGCACAAAACTTTGATATTGGTGCAAAATAAGAGAAAGTCATTCTCTTGTAATATCTGTTACCAAAGTCAGATCTTTAGTCATATGAAATAAAGAAATAACCATCAGCTAAAATTTCATTTACAAATCTTGAAATTCTGAGCATTGCAAATATTGTAAAAGTTGGGGTTTTTTCATCTTAAATAAAGTTAAAGTTTCTATAACTTCAAGAATGTTTTCTTATTTCCGTTCCTTGCTGATTAGCTCTGAGAGAGATTTCACACTGGACAGATATGTTTATTTATATTTTACATCTGGGGGTCCATTTTTTTTATAACCAACAAGGTATCTCTTCACAACGATTAAAAATAAAACATTCAGCACCGATGCAAACACTTTTGCCAATGAAAGTGAAAGCTTTAATAGTTTTTCTTAATTCTGAAGAAAATGTATCTTTTTGAAACTATTTAATTCTAGAAATAGAAATGGATACTGTGAAAATTAGAGAAACATTTAAGTAGTGCTATATTCCAATGAGTTTGACACATAGTAAAATGGTTTACAGATAGAAACCAAGGGGCAGACGGCTCATGGGTCTGAGAGGGAGGATGTGTTGAAGCAGACCAGAGTCCTGCATTGGCTTTACTGCTTTTGATGAATGATGAAAATGGTATACTAAGATAGACCTTTAACTTCAAATAACGACAATGGAGAGGAACTAAAAAAAAAGTTTTCCAACGAGGGTAACCTATCAAGGGAGAGATGTTCTCTTCCAAACACTCCTTTATTACAACAGATTCATGTTGACTTAGATTATAAACACCAATAAAATGAACTATATTACAACCTATTGCCACGACATGTACATGTATCACAACCATCATTACCTCCCTTCTTTTGACATGAGCTTTTGTTATTCACTGAATTTTTTAAAACATCTAAGAACTCTCTAAAAACTGTCATCCTCTCTTGGTGCATCTTCTCCAGGCGATCCATCCGTAACTTTTCTTGTTTTCTCCTGTCTTCATTTAAAACCCTAAGCATATGAAGAACTTGCCCCACATCACTAACATTATCTCCTGCTATTGGGCTGTATTTCTTTTTCTTAATGAGAACCTGCCAAGCAAGAAATACAAACAAAATGGTGAAAAAATTACACCAAGACCGGTATAACAATAACGACATATCATAAAGCTCTTTCGTTTCTAAATTAAGAGCTATATTGAGATCTTCAAGCACACATCTAAATATTTGTTGTTACTTGTTTTCTGTGCTGAAGAAGGAATTTATCCGAAATTTCCTTTAATCGCCCTGTCCTTACATGTCAAACCTTAACATATCTTTTTTCCACTACTTCCTTTCTTTTCTTTTCAAGCCTAAACATATCTTGTTCCCCTATTTATTTTTCTAATGTATCTCCAGAGGTCAAGATACATTCTCCCGAGAAGTGTCTTTTAAAATGAAGAGCCATCAACTGTATATGATTTTATTCAGGTATAATATTTGGAAATAAGTTTGCTAATTTATTGAAAAAAAGAAAAACCTTACTTTATGGCCAACAGGTTCTTCTCGAGGGCCTTGACCATCAACGTTGTTATTCTGTTCAAAAACAGATATGGACATTATTTTTCATAGCCCCTTTTATGACAGCATTGTTAAATAAAAACATAAATTACAAAATCTGGGAAATTTCTTTGATACTTTGAAATTTTATTTTCAAAAGACAAAAACAGTACACATGCAGCACTTATCTTTTCCCTTGAATATGTTTTCAACACTTGTACACTGCTCATCATTTTATTTTTATAAATCAAGTAGACTATTTTTATTTTAAAAACAAGATCTCATCCATTAACTGTATGTACCACAAATTAAGAGTCTTCCCATGAGTTTAACTTTAATTTTTTAAGGTAATATTTATTGAATTAATATACATACTGCATCTTGTTGATGCTTTTAAAAAGAAGTGGAAGTCATTTTTATGACTTCTTTACTATTGGGACGGACTACACTATATTTTAAAAAAGCATCATTACCGGTACATGAAAAAACATGAGGCCTATTATCTTTATTTGATTAAACAACTAAATTAATTTGAAATTTTGCTATTTTATTGCAATTGTCAAGAGTCTTAATGTGTTTTCTAAGTATATATTATAAATTTTTTATGAAAAAAGATGAGGGTATCCAAAAGACAGTTTGAATTCACCAGGATAAAAAGTATGAACATGAACAACTGGTGAATTATCCAAAATAACCACAAGCATTCACCTTAAGTTCAGTTGATGAAGTACTTGCTGTCGGATCACTATCACATTGTAATGGTCTTTTTGCTGTATTTGGTATCTGATTCGTGACCACAGCTATGGTGGTCTGCTGAAAAGAGTTGTCACTTACAAGTGACTTAAAGGCAGCCTGACAGGATGGTGCTGCTTGAGATAGGCATGGTGAAACATACCGGTAAACTGTTGCAAGTTCATTATAAAATGGGCATCTGAAATAGAAATATCCCTCAAGTAAAATTCTTTGTTTTCAGATAATTCCATTTTTTTCTTCTCTAAATTTAATTATGTTGCACTATATCAAAGCTAGTGAGCTATCTACAGTATCAGTAATATTTTCAATGTACAATAGTGGACCCTCAATATTTGTCTATGTTGATATTGGTCTTTTATTATATTCAGCCTGTTCTTTCTTTGAAATTTTTGTTTGATATTCACCCCAGTAGTCAAGATTCGTCCCACCTGCCATGTAAGTCAGTCAGTCTCTATTGGTGATTCAACATACTCACATCAACTCTTGATTACTACTTTATTCCTTTTCAATATATATGAGTTTTTACAACTATTTTTAAGGAAATAAGTGAGCATGGTTTCTGGAAACAGAATTTTTGGGTTTTTTGTGTGTTTAAGTTTAGAATTTAAAAATTTAATTTTAGAGTTGAGTCCCTTAAGTTGTTTATTGTTGTAAATTTTGTACAGCGAGGCAGTTTTAGTTAATACCTATGGTAAAAATTCCTAGGGAATGGATTAATGACAAATATAATGGGTCCACTGTAATGAACTTCACTATAACTTTAAAAGTACCTAAATCTTAATTTTTAAAAAAGAGTGCCAATGTGCATATTTTATTTTTCTCTAAAACCGTCCACGTGACTAAGTAACATTTGATTGGTTTATTAAAATTTTGTAAATAATTTTATTCCAACTCCATAAACTAGTATAGCTACTTAAAAAAAAGTAGGGCACTGACTTTCTCATTATAATGTGGCCATGTTTGGCATTGTGATCAACTGTGTCCCTGTACTTTTTGGTGATTGCCTTCCATTTGTTCTCTGCCTGTATCCAAGAGTAAGCATAACCTTCTTTCTGCATACACATGGAGACCATCTCCCAAACCTGGCATCAAAACATGAACTGGAATTTAACAAAACTTATTTTCTTGTTAATGCACAATATGTACAGCAAATAGCAATATTTTGTTATGGAAAGAAAGAAAAAACATTAAAAATCAAATTCACTTACAGATTTCTTTTTGTAGTGAGGATCATCAAAAAGATGTTGGTGTTCATTGTGAAGCTGAATCAGCTTAAGAACAGCAGCTTTGCTCCACCCAACAGTGCCTGAAGATGACCCATACTGCTGAGCCTGTCCATTTAATATTAAATCTTCCTCCTCAACAATCAAGGTGGTTGTTTCCTTGTCTTCTACACCTATAGAAATGGTTTCTTGACTATCCAAAAAGTTCCCTTTGGTGTCAGTATTAAGAATGGTTTGGCAGGTCTTATTAACACTCTCAGAAAGTGATGCTTTGACACAACTGCCTTGATCAGTCATTAAACTAATCACTGGTGTAATAACCACAGTGTTATTGCTACTTATTATGGCCTTTTGTATAAATTCTGCCATTGCATGTTAATTTTCTATCAAAATAATAGAATCATCTGCAGGAGAAATAAATAAGAGAAAAATGAGTTAAGTACCAGTATTTAAATTATTAGAAAATATTTTTTTTAAATAAAGCGAATAAATTTTATGAGGTGACATGGTTTGAAGTTGATCAATGGTGGGAGAGCTGACACTGTCAAAAATTGTATAACACCAGTACCGATAGAGTTGAACTGGGATTAGCAAATTAAGGCAGTGGGGCCAAATCCAGCCTGCTGCTGCTTTTTATACAACCTGCGAGCTAGAAAGGATTTTTACTTTTTTAAAAACTTATGTAAGATTTTAAAGAACCATGTAAACAATATGTATTTCTCCTAAAACTTTTCATTCTCATGATACTAGATCAGGGGCCCTCAAACTACATCTTACGGGCCAAATCCAGCCAGCGAGAGATCCTTAATCCGGCCTGCCTGGCCATCGTATGGGGGATGAATATGGAATCAAACTTATCATTAACAATAAGCAGACCCATATTTGCCATTGAAATAATGTTATGATAACTTTATAGTTTTTTGTTAATTAAAATTGTTCTCCATTTTAAATATTGAATTTTCCAAGCCGTGTCTTTATTTTTCCCCACTAAAAATAAGAAATGTTCAGTGCGTCTTTGGAATTTGTTTCAATTTTTTCAAAATATAGTGTCCGAGGGACAGTTAACCAGCCCCCAAATGTCTCAGGGACAGTGAGCCAGATTAAAAAGTTTAAGGACCCCTGTACTAGATAGTCCCTGCTCCAATGCAGGCAGGCCCTTTAATATTTTATTTTAATAAACCTCTGTTTAAACATTCCTTCTTACAAATTCCGGTAACTATTATACAAATTGTTCAGGTCTAACTATTAACTTTAGGTTGATTTTTGGGATACCCCAAAGTGACATCACTGTGTTACGGGTAAGACAATTAGTTTCAAAACCCATACCACTAACCCCACCTTTATCATAACTATAACTTACTTAATTCATTCAAGTTAAATGAAACTCACTAACAGTGCAGTTGAGTTAACGCCCGGAAAATTAAATCCAAACTGTACCATATGTGATGCGATAGTTTAACACTGAGTAATATTAATAATAATAAAGAATAACGAAGTGACTGGGTGGGGCGATTTGAGCACTTCAAATAATTTCAGCTTCCCAGGGCTCAACTTATTATTACGATGTGCACTACAATCATAACTTCCTGTTTTGCCCCTTTTGACAAAAATAATAAATATTTTTAAAACGGTTATTATTTTTTATTCGTTTTTAGGATTTCGAATTGTCACAACAGTTTGCAACTTGTTACGTGGAGACTAACTGAAGGGTGCTACGGCAGGTCGTTGACATATTACTATTTGTTGCCTTCAATCTAGCACTAGTTAGATCGATACAATAAGAGTTGCTACGCTCGCCATTAATTTGTGTATTTTGTACTCTACACTAAAATGAATTACGTTGTTTAGGGCTTAGGGTGCTTTGCGCAATCTCCATCCCGTAATATCGATATGCTTTGGGCGTGTCTCGCCCTAGCCCCAAGAATCACCGGCCAAAAAATTAAATAACAACATTCATTTTTTTTTTTTTAAATGGGTAGGAAACAAAGAACGTCAAACTATTCAACTTCTTTAACATACTTAGTTGAAAGCTAACCTAGACCTAAAGTTCTAAATTGTTGACGCTTTTCAAAGAAACCGGAAGTAAGTTTGTACTATTGGGACGGACTACGCTTTATTTTTTTAAAAAGCGTTATTACCGGTACATGAAAAAACATTAGGCCTGTTATCTTTATTTAATTAAACAACTAAATTAATTTCACATTTAGCCATTTAATTGCAATTTTCAAGAATGATAATAATGCGTTTTCTAAGAATATATTATACATGTCCTGCCTTCATTATTGTTGTACTAAATAATGACATGCTAATAAAAATAAAAAAAATAATCATGATGGACAAGGGGAACAAGTTTTCATTGTTAGGGTTGATAAATGAAATCGTTAACTGCTGAAATAATTGGATTCTATGTTTTTAAAAAAAATAACAAGGAATTTCAAAATTTAATTTTTAAAATCCGGTATCAAGGATTGTAAACCTAGCCTTTGTATATTTCATTGGTATTGAATTCAAAATACTAAAATATTAGAAGAAGAATTTATGTTATAATCATCCTTGTTATATTCATTTAAAATATGGTATCATAACCTGTGGTCCACTGACCTCTTAGGAGGTCCGTGAAAGGGTTTCAGGGGGTCAGCTAGCTCCATTTCCTCTTAAAATGTATTGTCTCCATTAAAAAACTTAATTCTAAGAATACTAGATTGGTAGATGGGCTGGTTTTCTATTTCAACGAAGAGAGAAGTGAATAAGTGATCTCGAGTTAATGGAGTTGAAGGCAATTCTCCAAACTACGCACCACTTCATTTCCTTAAATTAGCCTACGAAATTCTGTACACAAACGTGTTGATATTGAGGAGCAACAATTTGTGAACACCAAACTGTCACAGCTTCCATTTGCAAAAGCAAGATGACTAGCCAAACGAAACATTTATTGTTAAGTTTTTTAAAGAGCCACTAGTAGGGGGGAGTTGTCCTTCTGAAGCTAAAAGATCCCAGGCAAAACGCATGACTTCCAACGCAACGGAAGTTTAGCGCTAACATGATTACTTGTTGCAGTTGATGGGTATGAGGCAATGGGTGGCCGCCCAAACCCTTGTCAATGATTAAAAAGACGCGGCCCTGAGAAAGCCGCCCCTAGGCGACCGTTTCGTCCCCGCTACGTCCCGACCGGACAGCTCCCTGGGCGGTGGGGAGTGGTAACGCAACACTACCTCTCCGGAGACGAAGTAAAGCCGTCCTGACCCATAGGAGAGCGGACTACGGACGCTTTAAACGCAGCGCCCTCGGTCTGCCGGACGTCCCTCAGGCCAGTGAGGGAAGTTCCCGGCGCACTTCCACACGGTCTGGGGCTTCGGGGAGGCCTTGGCCCGTTTGGGGGAGTGCCTGGGGGTATTATGAGTGAAAACTCGACGACCCACCGACACCATCTCCAAAGTAACGTTATCAGTAAGCTACACCACAACGAAATGGCCGATCCCAAGCCCGGGTGCAAAGGAAGGAGAGTTGGCTTGAGGTCAGATACCTCCCGTGAAAAAAAAATAATAATAAGTATTACAGTGTTCAATAAGAAGAGAAAAAAAGATCAGCCCTGATAAGTGAGAGCTCTTCTTCTCCAAGAAGAGTTATTAAGCCTAGCGACCACAGCCAGGTTATACTGGAAGCTTCAAAGCCGAGGACCCTCCTTTCAAAGGCAATAAGCATAGGCTCGTGAAATGTGAGAACTATGTACGAAACAGGAAAATCAGCACAAGTGGCAGCAGAAATGAAAACATGCAAACCCACACAGCTCGGTAGCCCACCTGTGAATCCAAGATGGACACCAGCGGGACAGTTAAGATTGACCTCGGGAAAACACACTATTATATTCAGGGCATGAGGAGGAAAATACTCCACACAAACAAGGAGCCGCATTCATTATGACACGGATGGCACAAGGGACATTGATAAAATGGGAAGCACTTGTGCCAAGAAGGATTGCAGCATCATTCCTAACCAAGAAGAAGAATATAAATATGATTGTAATACAATGATACGCACCCACCAACGAGAGTAAGGACGATGAAACATAAAACTTCCACAATAGTGACACTAGAAACATTTCCAGTTAGAGATAAAAATATCATAAGGGGAGATCTAAATGCTAAGATAGTGAAAGAAAATAGAGGATAGGAAGAAATGATAAGGCGAATTGGTCTGGAGCAAGCAATGAAAACGGCGAAGGACTGGCAGCAGACTTCCGCGCGACAAATGAGCTCGTTAATGGGGGGAGAAAAACTGGGAAGAGCTAGCTGCTAGATGACAAAAAAAAACAACACATAGCACTTCTAGCAAACAAGCAACTTCGACGGGAATTCTGTGTTACCTTGAGAAATAAGTTCAAGGCACTGCAAGACCAAACAGATGATGACCAGATAGAGCAAAAATGGCAAAAAAATAAAGATTTCCGTAACATCCACGTACAACAAGACATTAGAACTGGCGAGGCACAAACGCAAAGATTGGCTCTCACTTAACACTTGGCAAAAAATAAAAGAGAGGAAATAAATGAAGTTTGCAATGAACAACAACCGCACTAGGACTGAGAGCAGTAAACAACAGCCATACTAGGGCAGAGAACAGTAAAAACAACCACACTAGGGCATATAGCAGTAAACAACAGCCGCACAAGGGCATAGAGCAGTAAACAACAGCTGCACTAGGACTGAGAGCAGTAAACAACAGCCGCACTAAGACTGAGAGCAGTAAACAACAACCGCACAAGGGCATAGAGCAGTAAACAGACACGCTACGACAGAGAGCAGTAAACAACAGCCGCACTAGGACTGAGAGCAGTAAACAACAGCCGCACAAGGGCATAGAACAGTAAACAACAGCCGCACTAGGACTGAGAGCAGTAAACAACAACCGCACTAGGACTGAGAGCAGTAAACAACAGCCGCACTAGGACAGAAAACAATAAACAACAGCACAGGAGAAATATAAATATAACCGGCTGGCTTCCGTGGAAACAGTGCAGGCTACACAACAGCCGCACAAGGGTAGAGAGCAATAAACAACATTATTTTGTTTTACTATATGGTATAGTGCGTTCAAAAAGAAATTTGACGTAAATTAGACAGTATGAACTTTAAAAAAAAAAAGATCAAGTTTCCGTTCGACCAAACTTCCGTCGATTAATTTTCCGTCGACGAAATTTCTTTCAAACAAATTTCCGGTAACTATCCTGAAAATCAAATGGCCAAACAGCATCACCAACAAAGCCTTACAAGAAAGCGTTTACCAGGCGCCTATTGCTGGAGACATCATAAAGAAAAGAGGGAGGTCGATATGGCACACTGGTCGTAGGCCTCCAGATAACATCACCAGACAATCCAACATGGAATCCGCGGGGAAAAGGGAAGAGAGGACGGTCGGAGACGCGAGCTAGAGGCAGACACACAAAATATGGGATATACCTTGAAGCATCTGGAAAGGAAAGCACACGACCGATATGAATGGAAAATTCTTGAAGACGGCACATGTCCCAGGTGGGTTGATAAAGTAAGTAAGTAGTAGGCTACACACTTTTTGGCAATCCTCCGAAGTCCGGTCCCAAATTATTTCGTATGAAAAAAACTGCAATGCACAGTGTGTATTGTTAGAAAACAGCAGATATGTCAGTCATAGCTTTTGTAAATAACTGTAACTTTACAAACCAGTCAGTAAATACTAAATGTTGTCATTGGCACATAGCATTTGCTAATACCAGCCGAAAACGTTCTGCTGGTGACTGTTGCGCCACTGAAAGGCCCCCAAGTAGCTGGCAAACAGATCGCGACTAGCGGGCCTACCACTCTGATAGCGGGCCTACCACTCTGATAGCGGGCCTACCACTCTGATAGCGGGCCTACCACGCTGATAGCGGAGTTTACGTTTTGCTTGCATCCAAAGTCCTTCAATAGTTTCTGTGTGTGAATCTCCTGGTCTACTGGATCAACAAATTCACGCGCGTGCACAATGACAGCGTGAGCATAAATCTCGTTGTTGAGCTGACCGACATTTTGATATCCTCGCCAAGCGTCCGTGACGGTAGTTGTCCATGGTAACACATGATTAGTGATAATGCGCTCGAGTGTTTGTGCATCTGGACGGCCGACAACCTCCATCTAACATCGTCCACTAACGCAAACATGAGTTTCAAAACAGAATGATGCCCAAGACTTTTAAGTAAGGATTAATATTTGGAAATAATTTGGGACCGGACTTCGGAGGATTGCCCACATTTAGTTTATGGCCTTTCATCGCGCGTTGATCCATTGTTATTTTTCGATAGATTGGCTGTATTCCCGCGACATTATTGAGTATTGGAGCTTGATAATCTGGTAATGCAGAATTGAATGTCATTTCCTATTCATATCAGTTAACTTTTGATTCTCTTGCACTAACAAAGTGTGCTAACATTCCGATCAGCCATCTGCAGTGCACAGACAGACACACACAAATAAATCGTATATTGTTAAAAGCCTAAAAATTATATGACTATTTACATTCATTTACACTTATAAATTTTTAAAAATAATTTAATAACCAATGTTTAAAATGAAAATTTTAATAGAGAAAACAAGATTGTTGACGTCAACTAATGTACCCCCCTCCCCTTGTCAACAACTGTCAAACATTTCCAAACCCCCTCTCCCCTATTTTGTTGTCGTAATTAATGGACGCCCCCAATATATCATTGGAACGAGAACGAATGTACTGTTCCAGTGGACTTCTTTGACTTGAAAGAAATAACCAGGAATCAATAACCAAAATGGCGGCATGTCTCTCCATGACAACAGATGTACACAAGCCCAGTGTTTACTTCAAATAACATTGACAGTTTTTCCCCTTTATTCAAGCCTTTGTGTCACCGTGCTTCTTTAACTTTCTGATTTCATTGAATTATCGTAAGTATTAAAATAATTCACTTATTAAGTAGCGAGTATAGAGGTTGATCCTTAATAATTATGGAACACAGCGTCTACCATATAGCCCAGCCCTAGGCCTTGGCTAGCTCTACTATTACTGCTAAATTTAATGTGAAAAAGTTGTAGTTGTTGCCTAACTTAACGGCTTTTACTTGTACGGTTTACGTTAATTTTAAGTACCCTGGTAAATTAAATTGTAAATTCGCAGTCTAAGTTTTAAAAAAATAAATTAACATTTAAAAATTGCATTGTTACTGAGTGCTATGCCATTCCTCTGTAGTATTAGTAAAGAAACTTGAGTCACCGTCTTGTTCAATGCATTAATATTATGTTGTAGTTCCCGATTCTTTTGTTTCGTAATCTATATTGTAATTTTAGTTTTATTTGGAGGGGAGGGGGTGAAGTGGGGGAATCAGTCAAGCACACTAATTTGACTAATTGGTCCTTAAGAAGTTCAATGTGTGAATGAAGATCGATTATTGATTACTGATTACGTTAGTTTAAAGGGTTTGATAACAACAGGAATTAGATTTTAAACCATTGTATTCCTTAATTGATATGTTTAAATTGAATTCAAATCTAAACGTTGTCTTTTGATAGAAAATAGTATCAAAAAGAAATGACTATATTCCTTGCAGTATTGCGTTTTAAGCTATTTTATAATTTGTAGTATTGAGGCCCACCTTACAAGACACATAAGGAGGAACCATTATTAAATAATTTTATTGCTCACTAAAATTTTAAAAAGACAATTAATATTAATAGAGAGTGTATTTCTCAAGACTGACACTTGAACACTTATGACATGGGTCGTTCGCAAATAACGTCACGCAAAAAAAAATGACCGTTTTAGACCCCCCCCCCGTCACAAAGTATAAAAAATTCTTTACCCCCACCCCCTTTTTCAGTGTGACGTCACACCTAAAAAAATCAAAACATACACAACATTTTCATAACTTAACTAAGATTTAATTTTATTCTTTAATATTTTTCCATAATGGATTAAGATGAAGTATTATTAGAAAACTGTGACGGGAAACAACGAAGTCATCCACAAGCCGAGTGTAAAATGTCCACAACAGTTTTTGCGTCATTTTTCGATATGCGCAGATGATCTGCACGACTAAGTTTCATCGTACCTATAATACCAGAGGCAATTTCGACCTCAAATTAATGTTTTTAAAATTAATTGAATAAAGATTTTTCAAAATGATAAAATTTGAGATGTTATTTTTAAAAATATTTGTTAAAAACGTGACGTCACAATTGTTTTACCCCCCCCTCCCCCTGTCACTAAAATCTCCCCCCTCCCCATGAGCGTGACGTAATTTGCGAATGACCCCTTATTGGCCTACGTGATGTAGAAATACCGAATAGGCCCTACTGTAATTATCTATTTTGGAGTCCACGTTTTACTTTGGTTCAGATTGTTAATTGTGTTCAATTCGGTCTACATATTGCATGACTAATTGCATGGTTTTCTTTTTAATGGAAATACTTTGCTTTGAAATATTATAATGTAAATATATGCTTTAAAATTATTATTATTTTTAAAATGTATTTAACTATGTAATGTAAATTTAGTGTAAATGCTCTGTGTGATATGTGGGCTAGAGTATCTGGATTTAGAATGTCATTCTATTGCTTCTTTTTATCTAGACTATTATTGGTAACATAAACTCAGTCACAGACTGACACTGAAACGAACGGCAGTGAAAGCCAAGTATTGATCAGCAACAAAAGGAATTAAATCAATAGATCTATAACCGTTCTGTGTAAACATTAGAAGGTGTTCCTGTCTTTTAACTTTTAACAAATTTAAATCCAGGTCCAGCTTAATTTTAGAAATAAATATGTGTCATACTTTTGGTGTACATGTAATCAATCTGTGGCATATTTCTATCTAAAAATTGTTTCCAGCTATTTTGATATCAAAATAAATGTATAATAAACATGGGCGTCCACAGTGGGGAGTAAGGGGAAGTGCCTCCCACCCCCACCCCCCACCCCCCGCGCGGATTTTTACTAATATTTTGTCAAAATACTATTACCAACCTTTTTAAGCTTGTAAATGTGTACGTAACTACTCACCAGCTCTTCACTAGCTCAGCTTGTAGGGGTGGCCATTAACATTAGATGTTGATACACTAATTAAGAAAGATATATGTTGACTGTGTTACTGTAACCTGAACCACCTGAACCAACAATGCTGCTTTGTTTAATACTGCCAACGAATTACTTGAATTAATGAAAACTCGTAAACTGTGTGTCCACAAAGCCGTGAGCAAGTTCAAGTTACACTCAGAGGTGCCTTCAGCATTCTGGCAGTCATTGTAACCAGTCACTCAGAGGTGCCTTCAGCATTCTGGCAGTCATTGTAACCAGTCACTCAGAGGTGCCTTCAGCATTCTGGCAGTCATTGTAACCAGTCACTCAGAGGTGCCTTCAGCATTCTGGCAGTCATTGTAACCAGTCACTCAGAGGTGCCTTCAGCATTCTGGCAGTCATTGTAACCAGTCACTCAGAGGTGCCTTCAGCATTCTGGCAGTCATTGTAACCAGTCACTCAGAGGTGCCTTCAGCATTCTGGCAGTCATTGTAACCAGTCACTCAGAGGTGCCTTCAGCATTCTGGCAGTCATTGTAACCAGTCACTCAGAGGTGCCTTCAGCATTCTGGCAGTCATTGTAACCAGTGCAAACAATTTTTTGTTAAAAAATGACACCCCCCCCCTACAAAAAACTTTTTCTGACGCCCATGATATTTTCTTTATTTAAATGCACGGTCCTATCAAGAGATGTGTGTTTCCGTTTTGGGCAGATGAATGCACACAATGCACACAATGCACACAATGCACACAATGCACACAATGCACACAATGCACACAATGCACACAATGCACACAATGCACACAATGCACACAATGCACACAGTGCACACAATGCACACAATGCACACAATGCACACAATGCACACAATGCACACAATGCACACAGTGCACACAATGCACACAATGCACACAATGCACACAACGCACACGTGACTACTTAATTATGTTTTTAAAAAATGAATTAAACAAAAAAACAACCGACTTATGCCACTGATTTGTTGCCTGTCATAATTTTGTGTTGGGTCGTACTCTGCATACCCCCCTCCTGGCAACCCTAATACCTCCCGCTCCCCCACTAACCCTGGTTAAGAACCCTTGGGTTAGATTATGACACCCTTCTCAATGCTTCACAGTGTTACATGCCTTGAAACATAGTTGTGCCTCAAACAAAAACAAAACAAAAAAAAAAAACGTTTAAAAAAAACTTTGTCACTCCTCGGCACTCGTGTGGACCCTAGGAGTATTTATTGCTACGCCTACGCCACACTTATTTGCTAACAGTGTCCTGATAAATAATGACACATGTTGAGTAGGATCAGTCTTGTTTCTGTTGCTTCAATAGCTTTCTCTCACCGTGGCTCTCTCTCTCTCTCTCTCTCTCCATTTTCTTTTTTTTTCTTAGACTTCTGTTAGAGATTCCATTGACCTGCCAACACACCTTTTCTCTCACTCTTTCTCTCGGTCTCTTCCTATTTCTCTTTCTATTTGTATATGTCTCTCTTTCTCTGTCTCTGTCTCTCTCTCTTTCTCACTCTTTCTTTCTCTCTTTCTCTCTGTCCTTCTCTCTTACTTTCTCTATCTCTTTCTCTCTCTCTCTCTTTCTCGCTCTTTTTCTCTCTCCCCTTCTCTCTATTTCTCTTTCTTCCTCTCTCTTTCTTCCTCTCTCTTTCTTCCTCTCTCTTTGTCTTTCTATCAGTGTCTTTCTCTCTTTCGCTCCCTCTCTTTCTTTCTGTCCCTCTCTCTCTCTCTTTCTCTCTCTCTTTCGCTCTTTTCATTACTATCCTTCAAGCTCAAGGATCAGCCTACAGCACAGGTTTCCAGTTGCTCGCTGAAGTTCAGGAAAATATCATTAACTGACTCAAAATGTCTCTGATAATATAGACTTAAATGATGTTGGCAGTCATATAACATAGACTTATATGATGTTGGCAGTCTGATAAGAAAGACGTATACGATGTTGGCAGCCAGATAAGATAGACTTATATGATGTTGGCAGACTGATAAGAAAGTCTGTCTCTCTCTTTTCTCTGAATCTCTCTCTCTCTCTCTCTCTCTCTCTCTCTCTCTCTCTCTCTCTCCCTGTCTCTCTTTCACTCACTTTCTTTCTATCTCTGATAAAATAGACTTATATGATGTTGGCAGCCTGATAAGATAGACTTATATAAAGTTGGCGGTCTGATAAGATAGACTTATATGATGTTGGCAGTCTGATAAGATAGACTTATATGATGTTGGCAGTCTGATAAGATAGACTTATATGATGTGGGCAGTCTGATAAGATAGACTTATATGATGTGGGCAGTCTGATAAAATAGACTTATATGATGTTGGCAGTCTGATAAGATAGACTTATATGATGTTGGCAGTCTGATAAGATAGACTTATATGATGTTGGCAGTCTGATAAGATAGACTTATATGATGTTGGCAGTCTGATAAGATAGACTTATATGATGTTGGCAGTCTGATAAGATAGACTTATATGATGTTGGCAGTCTGATAAGATAGACTTATATGATGTTGGCAGTCTGATAAGATAGACTTATATGATGTTGGCAGTCTGATAAAATAGACTTATATGATGTGGGCAGTTTGAAGAAAACTAAAAAAACTTTTGAAAAGGACGAGTAGAACAAAATTCAAAATTTTTGTTATAAAATGCATTACTGTCTGTAGCTACCTACTAGATACAATCCTAAAGTCTGTAGCTACCTACTAAATACAATCCTACTGTCTGTAGCGACCTACTAGATACAATCCCACTGTCTGTAGCTACCAACCAGATACAATCCTACTGTCTGTTGCTACCAACTAGATACAATCCTACTGTCTTTAGCTACCTTCTAGATACACTTCTACTGTCGGTAGCCACGAACCAATTAAAATCCTACTATCTGTAGCCACCGACTAGATACAATCCTCTTGTCTGTAGCTACCAATCTCATTGTTGTTAGTTGACTTTAGCCCAGCGTTGAATATCACAGATGTCGGCCACAGTAACTTTAAAGATAGGAAATAATCATATTCAGGTAATCCTTGTTTGGAAAATTCGGAATAAATCAATGGAGCTTAAAATACCCCACCCCACCCCACCCCAACTACAACTCTACCCCCAGCCCCCCTCACACATCTCTACCCCCTCTCCCTCCACACCTACACCTATACCCCCAGCTCCCCCTCACACACCTCTACCCCCACCTACAACTCACCTCCACCCCCACCCCACCTACACCTCTACCCCCACCTACACCTCTACCCCTCCCTACACCTCTACCCCCACCTACACCTCTACCCCCACCTACACCTCTACCCCCACCTACACCTCTACCCCCACCTACACCTCTACCCCCACCTACACCTCTACCCCCACCTACACCTCTACCCCCACCTGCAACTCACCTCCAGCTCCCACCCCCAATCCACAACTGTCCCCACCACGCACCCACCTCCGCCCCACCACCACCTCCTCCCTTGTCGTACTGCAATCAGTTAAACATCTTCAGTAACCCCACAACTCTCCCGAAATGTCTGGACAAGAAATACATAAAGTCACAAAGCTTTAATCATAAGCTGGTGGAGAAGCGCGGGGGTTGGGGTGGTGTACAGACAAAGAAAAGGCAAAGTGAGGATTTGATGAGAGAGTGGGCCGGGAGGGGGGGGAATTGTGAACCACGGTCCGTGAATGAATGCTGCCATTTATAACTTATATTAGATGTCATTTATAACTTATTTTTTTATCTCATTATAACTCAAGCTAGATGTCATTTTTAACTCGATTGACATCATTTTAACTCGTTTGATGTCATTTTTAATGTTCCTTATTTTATGACAGGAGTAAAAGGCCATTATGACGTCACGGGTTGCCAAGAGTCAATGCAGTCAGGTCAAGACCCCCAGGAAGTGTGGCACTGAGAAATGGTCACTTAATATTTGTTACTTAATAATTGTATGTGGATGGAAGATAATCGCATGATTGGTTATCTGCTATATTTAGACTTATTACATGTTTGGTGGTCTGCTAAAGTTAGACTAACTACATTTTTGGTAGTCAGCTATAGTAAGACTAAATGCATGTTTGGTGGTCTGCTAAAGTTAGACTAACTGCATGTTTGGTAGTCAGCTATAATTAGACTAACTGCATGTTTGGTGGTCTGCAATATTTAGACTAACTGCATGTTTTGTGGTCTGCTAAAGTTAGACTAACTACATTTTTGGTAGTCAGATATAGTCAGACTAAATGCATGTTTGGTGGTCTGCTAAAGTTAGACTAACTACATTTTGGTGGTCTGCTAAAGTTAGACTAACTACATTTTTAGTTGTCAGCTAAAGTTAGACTAACTACATTTTTGGTAGTCAGCTATAGTAAGACTAAATGCATGTTTGGTGGTCTGCTAAAGTTAGACTAACTGCATTTTGGTGGTCTGCTAAAGTTAGACTAACTACATTTTTGGTGGTCTGCTAAAGTTAGACTAACTACATTTTTTGGTGGTCTACTAAAGTTAGACTAACTACATTTTTAGTTGTCAGCTATAGTTAGACTAACTGCATGTTTGGTGGTCTGCTAAAGTTAGACTAACTACATTTTTGGTGGTCTGCTAAAGTTAGACTAACTACATTTTTAGTTGTCAGCTATAGTTAGACTAACTGCATGTTTGGTGGTCTGCTAAAGTTAGACTAACTACATTTTTGGTATTCAGCTATAATTAGACTAACTGCATGTTTTGTGGTCAGCTAAAGTTAGACTAACTACATTTTTGGTAGTCAGCTATAGTAAGACTAAATGCATGTTTGGTGGTCTGCTAAAGTTAGACTAACTGCATTTTGGTGGTCTGCTAAAGTTAGACTAACTACATTTTTGGTGGTCTGCTAAAGTTAGACTAACTACATTTTTAGTTGTCAGCTAAAGTTAGACTAACTACATTTTTGGTGGTCTGCTAAAGTTAGACTAACTACATTTTTGGTGGTCTGCTAAAGTTAGACTAACTACATTTTTAGTTGTCAGCTATAGTTAGACTAACTGCATGTTTGGTGGTCTGCTAAAGCTAGACTAACTACATTTTTGGTGGTCTGCTAAAGTTAGACTAACTACATTTTTAGTTGTCAGCTATAGTTAGACTAACTGCATGTTTGGTGGTCTGCTAAAGTTAGACTAACTACATTTTTGGTGGTCTGCTAAAGTTAGACTAACTACATTTTTAGTTGTCAGCTATAGTTAGACTAACTGCATGTTTGGTGGTCTGCTAAAGTTAGACTAACTACATTTTTGGTAGTCAGCTATAATTAGACTAACTGCATGTTTTGTGGTCTGCAAAAGTTAGACTAACTACATTTTGGTGGTTTGCTAAAGTTAGACTATCTACATTTTTGGTGGTCTGCTAAAGTTAGACTAACTACATTTTTGGTGGTCTGCTAAAGTTAGACTAACTACATGTTTTGTGGTCTGCTAAAGTTAGACTAACTACATTTTTGGTGGTCTGGTAAAGTTAGACTAACTGCATGCTTGTTGGTCTGCTATATTTATATGCTACATGTTCGATCGTCCGCTAGAGCCATACTATCTTGTACCGTGACTGGTGGAGACATTTATGCTGTCCATTTCTGATTAATGAGACACAAACATGTTGTGTAAATAAAACAATATGGGCTCAGCTTTAGTCATGAATCATGCAGAACACAAATGCCAACATTTTGTCAAATCCCTTCAACAGTATAACAAAGAACATTTATATAAGTATACATTATATTCACTTAATATACTAGTTGAGATTGTCAATATCTATAGTGACACACGTCTAGTTGAGAATGTTCTTATCTATATTGACTCAAGTCTAGTTGAGAATGGCCTTATCTACATTGACTCAAGTCTAGTTGAGATTGGCCTTATCTACATTGACCCAAGTCTAGTTGATAATGGCCTTATCTATATTGTCACATCTCTAGTTGAGACTGCCCCTATATAGCAGAACCACAAGAAACGCTAAATCCTTGTTTCCAAACATTTTATTTTTGTTCCATTTTAGATGTATTTTCTCTTCTTATTTTTCTTCTTTGCCTTTTCAACTCCCACTGGAGCCTAGGCGATTAACAATTTCTTTCCAAGCCTTTAGGTCTCTAGCTATACTGTCTTCGCAACTCTTTCTAGTATTTGTTGCTTGTTTTTTGTGAGTTCTATACCAGGGTTTTGTCTTGTTAACTTTGGCATGAGTTCTATACCGGGGCTTGTCTTGTTAACTTTGGCATGAGTTCCATACCAGGGTTTTGTCTTGTTAACTTTGACATGAGTTCTATAACAGGGTTTTGTCTTGTTAACTTTGGCATGAGTTCTATACCAGGGCTTGTCTTGTTAACTTTGGCATGAGTTCCATACCAGGGTTTTGTCTTGTTAACTTTGGCATGAGTTCTATACCGGGGCTTGTCTTGTTAACTTTGGCATGAGTTCCATACCAGGGTTTTGTCTTGTTAACTTTGACATGAGTTCTATACCAGGGCTTGTCTTGTTAACTTTGGCATGAGTTCTATACCGGGGCTTGTCTTGTTAACTTTGGCATGAGTTCCATACCAGGGTTTTGTCTTGTTAACTTTGGCATGAGTTCTATACCGGGGCTTGTCTTGTTAACTTTGGCATGAATTCCATACCAGGGCTTGTCTTGTTAACTTTGACATGAGTTCTATACCAGGGCTTGTCTTGTTAACTTTGACATGAGTTCTATATCAGGGCTTGTCTTGTTGAATTTTTGCTCATGGTATTACCTATCAATCCCCACCTTGTTTTTGAAGTTTTCTCTTGTGTTTTGTTCACGACTTTGTGATAAACGAGCGTTTTCTGTCACCGTATCTTTATTTTAAGGTACCGGGATCGTGGATCAATAACCTTCGATAAAATGGGGGGCACGATTTTTAAAAGTTTCAGATCCCGTGTGCTCGGGAGTTTTCATCTATGATGCCCGTGGGCTGTGGTGGTTATAGCATGGTAAGACGAACATTACAAACAATGAGTAGACCACATTAAAAACAAAGAGTCGCTCTTAGCATGCTTGTATGGAGAGTAATGCGCCCATGCTTCTTACAAAACATGGCAGGAAATCGTTCTCTCTCGGCACTCTTCTATACTTAGCTGTGAAAAGGAAACTACGATTTAGGAGCTCTCTAAAAGCGTCACGAAGGTCACCCCAAACATCAGCTTAGAGCTGCTATTCTCTATGGCAGTGGTTCTCATGCTATTCTCTATGGCAGTGGTTCTCATGCTATTCTCTATGGCAGTGGTTCTCATGCTATTCTCTATGGCAGTGGTTCTCAAGCTATTCTCTATGGCAGTGGTTCTCATGCTATTCTCTATGGCAGTGGTTCTCATGCTATTCTCTATGGCAGTGGTTCTCAACATTTCATATGCCGCGATTCTTTAATACAGTTCCTCGTGATGTGGTGACCCCTAGCAATACTATTATTTTCGTTGCTACTTCATAAATATGTGTTTACCGATGGTCTTAGGAAACCCCTGTGTAAGGGTCGTTCGACCCCTGTGTAAGGGTCGTTCGATCTCAAAGCGGTCGTGACCCACAGGTTGAAAACTGCTGCTTTAGTGTGAGTCGGAAATCCTTGATAGAACTGTCTCAATGGCGAGGAGCTAGAGAAAAGAAATGCAGACGAAGCGGGAATACTTCTGCCCGTCCTCCAGCAGACAATTAAATTAGCTGTCCTTAAAGCTGCAGACATAAAACCCAGAAACGGGCTTCATAACCAGGGGTGTAGCAAGGGGGGGTGCGTGGGTTGCGGACCGCACCGGGTGACACCAACCCCAGCTACGTCACTGTTTCATAACCAGGGGTGTAGCAAGGGGGGGGTGCGTGGGTTGCGGACCGCACCGGGTGACACCAACCCCAGCTACGTCACTGTTTCATAACCACTTCTAGGCATGCACCTACCGATCTTCGGGTAAGAAGTTATAGTCTATAACATGGATACGTTGTTTGGCCTTCGCGTGTGAAGATGATCAAGGCTATATTCAACAATCCTATTTGTGCCTGGAAAGCTTCCCCGCACGTAGGACACGCTTTGCTTTGGATCAGAGTTGGATTGGAATCGATTTGGCCTTGCCTTTGCGTGCGCTTTCTTTGGGCGTGAGTGGTGCGCTTATTCTCTGAGGAGTGTGTTCCATCAGCGAGTCTGCCACGCCAGCTTATTCTCTGAGGAGTGTGTTCCAACAGCGAGTCTGGCACGCCAGCTTGTACGGTCCATAGGTGTTTTCCACGAATCAAGGTCAATGTCCATGGATTTGAGTGAAGCTTTTAGACAGTCATTGAAGCGGGGTTTTTTTTTCCTGTCCATCGCTGACCGTTTCCCTCTCGAAAATAGCATGGACACAAGCTCTACAAAAGTACTCAATCATCATCATCATCAATCATCATCTGGAGAGTTCACCAAAAATTAGTTGTTGAGGAAGTCTTTTGTCTGGCATTCTCGCAAAACATGTAAAAATGTGAAAATATTATATATTTTCTTTTTGAAATATCAATAATTTAATTTCTTGGCGCGCGTCTGAAAGAACAAAACAAAAACATTTTAAAGCATTTTATCTACGATTTTGCACACCCTAAATGTTGGAATATGTTAACGAAAGGTGTGCACCGCTGTCATGAACACGGTTGTGTGCGGCACGGCTGTGACGTACTATTCAAACTATTTAAAATTTCCTTGGTTACACAGTTGGGTGCAGCTCAATTACAAGCACTGGCGAAAACCTGACTTTTTTCTACTACAAGCTCTTCAATTAGTTCAAGTGTTTTAATTAGGTAACTTATCATGTTTTAATATTTGCCGAACAGGACAAAATGAAACACTTTTCAGTGTAATTAACTACTTCGCTTCACCAAAGAAAGACTCCCCGTGACATAGCTGATCAACAGATTCGATACCTTTCATTTATTAATGATACTGTTGTTCCAACATTTTAAAAACAAATTATCTGTGGAATGTGTAGTGTGCACAATTTAGCTATAAATAATAAAAAAAAGTATACACATTGTTCACATTAAACACATTCATGTAAACGCTTTATTTGTTATCTCTTCACAGTGGTGAAACAAAGATGAATTCCAGAGACCATAACAAAAATCACAACGATTGTTGCAGGGAGGCTGGTCTCAATGCTGTGGCAGCTCAGGAGGTTAGACAACTTTTGTTTTAGTTCTTTGCTCATTATATGATTGGTTTTCTCCCTTTAATCAAAAAATTAAATTACAATTTCTGAGCTTTTATAAATAGAAACAACACATTAAATCCTTTATTGATTCACGTCTAAATTAGACAAGACAAAATCAATATAAAATTAAATTTGACACAATGATTTCATTAAATTTCTTTACTTAACTTTCCAAACCTTTGCTTTAGAGACAGTAAAAGGTAAAATAACCTCAAATACACAATTTTTATAATTGGTCTTATTTTAATAGATAAAATAATATTTATTCAAGAATGTTGCTTTAGGGTGATAATTATTGAAATCTCTTTGTGTTTCGAATCCAGTATCCAGCAGCTCATGGTCAAGTTATTGTGTTTATGAGGTACAAGGCCGAGATGGATCGTCGCATCCGAAATGCTCTCATTCGGATGTCTGGGCGCATCAAACAATATGGTCCTGGTCACATTGTAGGGATCGCAAACAAGGTAGAGGGATCCCTGGAATTATTATATTGCATAGTGCTTTTGAAATTAAGTGAATCAATTTTGCCAACAGATTTCAAGCACAAAAATATAATTTCCAAATAACTCCTTTATACAGCTTGATTAGTTTTAAGCAAAGAAAGTGTCTTCTAAAGTTTTCCTTGCTCTGATCTAGGTCACAGTGGTGGAGTCCCCACCCCACAGTGAGTGGCTGCAGCGAGATGATTGGTGCTTCGCTGTGTTTGCTTTCCCCAACGAACGCCTGGCCAATCTGTGGTATGTTAGTGAACCAGAACTACGACAGCATGACTTCCTTCCACCAAGTGATGGTGTGCAACTTTTTTCAATGGACATTCGATACTTACCACAGATGGGTAAGATAAGTTTCTGTAACTTTGTATAGCATACCAAGTTAAAATGATTTGAATATGTGAGTGTCGATTTATTAAGAAAATTCTGGAGTGAGTTTTATTTATTAGTCAATTTCTCTTCAGCTCAAAGAAAGCCAGGCCATAATCAATTGTTCCTCCTATAATTCTTTAATATAAGGTTGGGTTTGAATTTGAACAAATGAAACAATCTAAAGGTAAACTGCTACTTAAATTAATACAGTGGGTCCACTAACCAAGGAAAGCAAAGAGGAATGATAAATAGTTTGGTAGCAGCTTGGAAACTGTTTACAAAAATGCAGTAGTCTGGGATATGTGGAAATCATTTGTTGCCCAATGTACTACTGTATTGGAGGAAATTAACGAAAACTTGGCAATTACACTGACTAATTCAATACTAAAAAGTCTACTGTCTTTCACTCAAACAAGTATGAATCTAATTAAATATTACCTTCAATTCACATTGTAATTTTTTTTTAGAATTTAACAAAAATACAGGAAATAGTGAAGAAAATCAAACATTAAATATCTTTTTGGTCAGGAAAAAATACCTTTAACTGGATGGAGCTGTCAGACATAAAGAGCAAGTCTTATCTCCAGTCCGAGTACATTGACAAGGCTGCTCGTCTTCTAGATGCCAAGTGTGTCAACCATGGTGTTGTCTTTGTCAAGGTAAGAAATCTTAGTAACCTACTATTCTATTATTAGAAAGCAAATCGGTATAAAGCTTCAAGGCTGCCTTGGCATCTGCTAGGAGCTGTTAAACTAGCAACATTATTCCCTCAACCGTTGCACAGATGCCAGTATATAGATGCAGGAACGAACACTACCAGAACCAGAAATCTATAGAAAAGCATCTCATGAAGTTCAGACCTCTTTCTCTTTGAGTACATTTTTATTTGAAACTGCAAGATAAAATATATTTGGTGTGGTACCAAACTATGTCTGACCTAGTTTTTATCTCCTGTTGTAGGATTCTGCAGTGGATGACAAAGTAAACCGTATGAAAGACACCTGGATCCCCTACAAGACAATGACCAACTTTGCTCTGCATCTCTACGACAATGAGGACCAGTTCTGGAGCATTTACAACAGTGGTAAAGATATTCTTTTTTATACAAAATATTTCCGCCGTCATTGTCAATGCTAGGCCTTTACGTCTTTATCTTGTGTCACATTAAGATTAGGCCCTGCAAGCGTCACTTAAATTTTAATGCTTTAACAGACATATGTTTACTTTTGTAAATGCATATTATTGTAATGAAATTTATGTAAGCAAAGATTCACACTTGCTTATTTGTGTTGTACATTGATATTACAGCTGAATACAGACCACTCCGTGAGGCCAGACATCAGCTGTGTAATACGACATCTCTACTTTTCACAGTGGACCCTCGGATCGCTTAACCTATTTGTTAATGTGCAGACTTTACATTGCCTATGACTCAGCAGGGATTTCTATGATGTATTATATTATGAATTTACGCAATTTCTTGCCAGAGTATTGGAGTGCTATGGTTAAATAGGGGGTCTTGTCAAAATTTGGTTGATAATTAAATGGCAAAATTAATCTACAAAGTAGGAGTAGTTAAATAAAGTATTTTCACATTTTATAAATTTTTACTTTAGTAAATAAATAACCTTAGCTTAAATATATATTTTCTTTTTGTTCAGATTTTACTCACATAATTTTAAATAAAAATATATAATAATCTCAATTATGTACTTGTCAGTCAAATAATTTTGTTCCATATTTAACTTTCAATCTTCAATTTTGTTTATTTCATCCCCTTTTTTTATTGATAAAGCTTGCTGACATGTTCTGTTACTTCTACCAAAAAATGCCTCATTCCTATTTTAATTGGTCTTCACACCAATGCCCTGTTTCTATTATTTTAAGTTCTTCACTCCAATGTCCTTTTCCTAATATTTATAGTGGTCTTCACACCAATGTCCTGTTCCTAATATTTTAAGTGGTCTTCACACATATTTCCAAATAGTTTATTTTCAGTTTTTAAATTATATCTGCTTGTTAAATAAACAGTCCAATTTAGTGATTACAAATTGTCTTGTAGTAATGAGTCTTTTATTTAAGTAGCTGAATCCCAAAGACACTTTCTTTTCTAAATATCCTCCTCATGAAGCTATGACACTAAAATATCAATGTTACAACTGCCCAGCAGCATTCAAACTATTTTCATTGGCTCACATTACCCACAAGCCAGTTTTGTGAAAATAAGACTATTTATGCCATGATAATTTACTTATTTCTTTTCAATGTACATGTCTTGTAATTATACTTGCTACTTGCATTTCTCTTCACAATACAGTTCAACCAAAGCTTGGAACAGTGAGAATACAACAATATATATTTATACAAGTACATTATAAACTTATACTTTATACTGCTATACTCATAGAAATGTAGATGTATATATTATTAATATAATTTTTAAAAATATTAAAAATCTATACAATAATCTGGATTTGTTCTATGTCCTTTCTAACAGTCAAGTTTACATGATGATACTATTTAAATACTACAGGGTTCAACTTTGACATATTAGTATTAGTCTACAAGTTGCTTTCTTTTTACACACATGATGTCTTTAAGTTTAAGTACTAGTATTTAAACATTTAAACAGCTAAAGAAATCCATGAACTTATGTTAAACTGTATGGTACACACTAATTCATATAGTATGTTTAATGTCTTTCAATTTATCCAGTACATATAAGTTAAATAAGGATAAGAAACAAAAGAATTGTAGAGACTTGTGTTTGAGCTCATACTTCATCAGTAGCAAATGACATTTTAACAATGAAGACAATGAAATGAACTTTATACCCATATAATATTATTTAACACACTGCAAGACTTTGTGAAAATATTTTATTGGACAACTCTGCAAACATTTGAAAAGAAATTTATCAACTTTACAATTTATATTTTATTAGTTATGTTTGTTTGTTGCCACAATGATAAAATTATAAGAAATTCATCCTACAAATACTTGGTCATCAAAAAACTCAATCCAGCTGTTGCCGCTAAACAGCACACGCAGTACAACAGCAATCCCAAACTGTGTCAGTCACTGCTTTAACTGATTCTTCACATCTCATCAGCTGCAGTAAACTATCATTCTCTCAAAGTCCAGTACAAAGACATAAGATACATAACATTGGTGCCATTTATGGTTAATGGTATTTAGCACTAGAAAATATTTTTGCTCTGGCTTTCTTTGTTTTTAACAGTAACATTCCACATAACATTAATCCATTTATAAAGAAGAGTAAAGAAATATGCACAAATAATTAATTAATACATAAAATTACAGGAAAAAAAAATATTTTTAACTGGTTCTTGATTTCAGAACTATAATTTTAGGGGTGTGTTCCAAACAGTGTGAGACTAACGGCCTTATCATTTACAGTTGCATACATTTAATTTTGTTAAAACTAATACAATGGGAGCATTTTGTGCAACATTACCCTGTCCCCTCCCCTTTTTTAGATGTAATAATACTGTTAAACATTTACAGAGTAAATAGTTTTAACAGCAGCCATGTAATTTACATTTTTAAAATCCTGGAACAAAAAAAATATGAGTGGGGTTATAAAACCCTTTTAGTCTTTGATGGGTTACCTTAATGCTTGACACAAAACATACATTGAAAAATGTCAAAACCATAAAAAAAAATAAAACATTCATTTATTACTTAAAGTTTCAAAGGATTTTCCTGTTGATAAAAAAAAAACTTGAGTGTCTAGTTGTACAAATGATATGTGATCAAGGCACCAGCTGATGTGCTCCCAATGGAAGCTGTGATGTGGTGTCGACAATAGATTAAATGGGCTAGGGATCCTAATGCACTCACACCCAAATATGTGGAGTCATCAGAATTACAAATTTTGGTCAGATCTAGAATAATCAATCTCTTACTGCATTTGAAATTCTCCCATTCCAATCAAAAACATTGTAGTCAGACTCTAATAAAACATTAAACTTGTCATTTGTTAGGATAACTTAAAAAGAAATAAGAAAAATGAGTTTTTACTTAACATCAATAACTCCATGACATCATGAGCTAAAAATAGGAAAACACCAACTTGACCAATCTGTATTATAATGAAATGTTTCATTAATATTAGTTAAACCACTAGGATTGAAAGATACTGGATATTTCCACAACTGAATCAATACTTGATAATTAATAACTTTCATGAATTCAGGTTTTAAGCACATCAAATTTTCCAGCAAGGTTCTTTTTTATGTTTAATTATTCACATGGATGAGCCCAACTTTAGAGACAAAAAAGTAGATAAAATTGACTACATTTAATCAGTGTAATAGAATTATTTACAATGAAATCAAATTTATTTAATGTATACAAAAGACATACTTAAAAAACAAGTTTAAAAAAACAACAACCCAAATCTCCAAGAAGACATATTAATTAAGTGGTGTTGTGTTGCAAAAGAATAAATTGAACACAGTTGGCAGACTACAAAACTGAGCTATTTACATTAGGACATATTGTGTGTACACACTATTGGAGATGATTTCCGGTCTGGCTAAACCTGTAGATCATCAGATGTCATTGTTGGAACATTTTGGAATATGTCAATGGCCATTTGCAAGACATGGAGAGAGGAACAAACCACAAAAAAAAAAAAAATTACTGTGCAATGCCAAATAAAATACTGTACTAAACCATATTTTCCTTCAATAGGCAATAATGAAGAAATCATAAAAACTTAATTAGAATTAGAAAAAAAAAATNTTGAACACAGTTGGCAGACTACAAAACTGAGCTATTTACATTAGGACATATTGTGTGTACACACTATTGGAGATGATTTCCGGTCTGGTTAAACCTGTAGATCATCAGATGTCAATGTTGGAACATTTTGGAATATGTCAATGGCCATTTGCAAGACATGGAGAGAGGAACAAACCACAAAAAAAAAAAAATTACTGTGCAATGCCAAATAAAATACTGTACTAAACCATATTTTCCTTCAATAGGCAATAATGAAGAAATCATAAACACTTGATTAGAATTAGAAAAAAAAAATTGGTTCATTAGAAAGATATATAAACTTTCTAATATGTATCAAATTTATTTTTTAAGTAAATTTAAACAACTACTTGAACATTTAAAAAAAGTAATGCCAAGTTTCTGCTTGAATAGAAAATTATATTTTTGTTTCTCAGATTCAAAAGAATAAGACATTAACTATTAGTTAATTGGCCAATAGCTTGCTATTAATAGTCACACTGTACAACAAATGCAAAGACCAGTGCTTCATTTTCCACAGGGAAACATAAGGCTGTATTTTTTCTTCTTTGACAGTCAGTACCAAAAATTAATGTGAACAAATCTTTACCATTGCTACAAAATAGTGTATTTTCCTACTGTTTGGGAAGCTTTAAACAAAAAAAATCACTTGTATTATTGGTTAGACTTCAACACATAAATGTCTGAAATCACTTGTATTATTGGTTAGACTTCAACACATAAATGTCTGAAATCACTTGTATTATTGGTTAGACTTCAACACATAAATGTCTGAAATCACTTGTATTATTGGTTAGACTTCAACACATAAATGTCTGAAATCACTTGTATTATTGGTTAGACTTCAACACATAAATGTCTGAAATCACTTGTATTATTGGTTAGACTTCAACACATAAATGTCTGAAATCACTTGTATTATTGGTTAGACTTCAACACATAAATGTCTGAAATCACTTGTATTATTGGTTAGACTTCAACACATAAATGTCTGAAATCACTTGTATTATTGGTTAGACTTCAACACATAAATGTCTGAAATCACTTGTATTATTGGTTAGACTTCAACACATAAATGTCTGAAATGTTGAGTTAAATTCAAAACAAATAAAGTATTACCAACAGATAATAACCACAAAACATACACAAAGAAAACCTACTCATTAGTATTGTCCCTGGTTATATCCACCATAGCCTCCTTGCATTTGACCTTGACCCATACTGTTGGGTGGGCCACCCATCTGACTTTGATTTGTGTTAGACTGAGGTCCAACAATTGAATTGGGTATACCACCTTGGGGCCCAGACATTTGGGGTGCCATGTTTCCCCCCTGGGGACCTCCCATCTGATTAGACATGTTACCTTGTGGTCCACCCATCTGATTAGGCATATTACCTTGTGGTCCACTCATCTGATTAGGCATATTACCTTGTGGTCCACCCATCTGATTAGGCATATTACCTTGTGGTCCACTCATCTGATTAGGCATATTACCTTGTGGTCCACCCATCTGATTAGGCATATTACCTTGTGGTCCACCCATCTGATTAGGCATATTACCTTGTGGTCCACTCATCTGATTAGGCATATTGCCTGGGGGACCACTCATCTGATTAGGCATATTGCCTGGGGGGCCTTGAGGTCCTCCCAACTGGTTTGGCATGTTACCTTGTGGTCCACTCATTTGATTAGGCATACCGCTTTGCATTTGGTTTCCCATATTACCTTGCATCTGACCACCCATCTGATTGGGCATACTTCCCTGGCCACCCATCTGCATACTGTTCTGCCCAGCCATCTGACTAGGCATATTTGTTGGGGGTCCTCCCATCTGACTATTCATGGGTCCCTGAGGACCACCCATCTGCCCTTGCATCCCCATTTGACTGGGCATGTTTCCTTGCCCCACCATTTGGTTTGTCATGGTGCCCTGTTGTCCGGCCATCTGGCCAGGCATCGCACCAGGTGGGCCTCCCATCTGCTTCTGGCCCATATCCCCATGTGGTCCCACAGGCTGGTTCTGGGGGCCACCCAGTTGATTGGGCATGCTCCCTTGGCCCATCTGACCGGGCATGCTTCCCTGTTGCCCCATTGGAGGTGTTCCCGGCTGTCCACCCTGCTGTTGACCCATCATGCCTCCGGGTCCCATCACCCCTTGCTGGCGGTAAGGAGCGTAGCCTCTGGGATTGTTCTGGTTCTGCTGTCCGGGACCAAACTGACCCGGCTGCTGGACGGAAGGCGGCACATTACCCTGGGGCCCGGGTTGAGAGTAAGGAGCCTGCTGTCCTTGCTGAGGTGGCTGCTGTTGTCCCCCAAACTGCTGCTGAGAGTAGTTTTGCTGATTGTTGAACTGAGGCCCTTGTGAAAGAAAGTGAACGTTCCAAAGCCATTAACTAAAACATTGTTTAAATTCATTCATACAGAGATGTAATTACTGCTCTCTAGGACTTTTAATGAGTACTATTAAAATTATTAGACCAACTTTTTTTTCCATTGTTGTTTGAAGATAATTATTCTAAGGCTTGTTCTGGAATATAACTTGGTTTGTGGATAGTGGATGAAATATGTGCACCCATTTATTTTCCTGCTCTACTTTCTGAGTTCCAAATCTCAGAGTTCTAAACTTATTTAAAGATTAGTTTATAATATTTAGATTATTAGAATAACACCCAAATTTACTTCTTACAAAATGTATCCAGCACTTCAGAATTATTCACTGTCTCTTTCAAAAGTAAGACTTTTCAACATTCCCCCCACCCCCCAAACTTATTGGATTTTTAAATAAATTTTTCCTTTCCATTAAAGAGAATTAACTCAACCATGCATGCTTAAAATAGTCTACCATAAGTTACTTTGATAAATCCTTCGTCCCAATTCTTTTAAATTCATTACCATTTCTAACTAATCTGTACTAAAATTATTAAGAATGATACATAGTGCATGATAATTACCTGGCTGAGCACGTCTGTATCCACCTTGCTGACCCATGGGTCTGCTGGGCATCATCTGGTTCGGTGTCCCCGGCATCATCATTGGGCTAGAGTTTTGTCCCATACCTGGCTGATGCTGGGACATCATCGGCTGATTCTGATTCATCATGGATTGGTTCTGTGATATCATTGGCTGCTGGGGTGACATCATTGGTTGATTTTGTGACATCATGGGTTGGCCTTGAGACATCAGTGGGTTCGTGTTCTGACCCATGCCACTCTGAGACATTTGGCTCATGCCACTTTGTGACATCATCGGCTGTTGCTGCGACATAGGAGGCTGATTCTGTGACATCATAGGCTGGTTGGGTGTCATCATGGACTGGTTCTGTGACATCATTGGTGGATTCTGTGTCATCATGGGCTGATTCTGAGACATCATTGCCTGCTGTGGTTGCTGTCCCATCATATTCTGTTTTTGCATGGGGAAATTTCCCTGTGGCTGTCCATAGCCTTGGTTTCCCATGGGACCTAAAATTAATATTTTTTAAAAATACTATGAGCTGTAGGTTTAACCGTCACTTTATTTTATGTAAGCAAATAATACACAAAAATACAATGCAATTCATGTCTCAATTAAGTTGCAGTAATTTGGTACTGTGATTTAGATGACATGTGCCTCTTTTAAGCTTGCCTCAATCGCTGAAAATATTTCATTTCAACTGTTGAGAAGTACATCACTTTGTAAAAACGGATTCTCTTTCATATTTTTAAATTTTTACTGAAATGTTTTATTCCAATGTTTTACTATCAAATATTAGTAGGATTTATCAAAGCTATAAAAAGATGATGAAAAAGGTTACTTTTACTGTATTAAAAAAGAAAGATACATTTTTAAAAAGTACAAGAGATATAACAACCTCCCATGTGGCCACCTTGGGCAGGAGGTCTCATCTGGTTCATCTGTCCCATTGGTGCATTGCCCATCTGGTTTCCAGGAGCCTAAAATAAAAATGTGCAAAGTTTATAAACCATGATTTTTTTGTTAAATGCTTCCTATCTCAATCAAAGCAGTTATTCCTGTTTTAATAAACATCCATCACTTGGACAAAACCTTACAGGCAGCAAAGCATGAACATTGGTGCTTGAATCTGCCAAATTTGCCAGGTAGACCAGATTTCGATGAAGAAGTTGTTGGTATCTGTGAAAAGAAAGAAAAAGGTTACTTATGTTTGACATTTCTTCAAATGATGTGTTAAAAAAACTAGTGTGATAAGGAGCATCTTGGGAATGGGAGTGAAAAACCTGTAAGCAAACTGCACTGTGTTTGAATCCAACTAATGGCTACTCTTGTTGCACTTAAATATTTATTCTCTCCTTTGTGATAAAAATCTTTTTTTTTTTTTTCCAGAAATTTTTTTAAAAAGTCATTCTATGCTCACATTGGTGTGCTTACAAACTTACAGGTAGATAAATATTACCTGATGTTTAATAAGAACCCCCTTACTGCTATATTTTTTTACTTACTGTATGCATTCTGTGCTTTTGCCTTTCATCTGATAATCACTGATGGTCTGTATAAGTTGTGTATTTTCATCCAACATCTAAAAGAAAAATCATGTTTATTTGATTAAAATTATTGCAATGTCCTAGTTTTAAATTTGAAAAAGTTTTCAACATTAATACTTAATAATGTTATTGAAATGGATAGGGGGAGGAGGAATTTTCTAAAATGATAGGCCTACTTAATACTGAGGCTACTGGTAGAGCTAAGCCTAGGCATATTATTATTCAAATAAATTAATCCAAGTAATGTCTCAAATATGGCTAATTATTTTAGCAGGATGGCCAGGTAAAGCGCAAGACCCTGCTATTTCTTATTAACTAATCTATTAATAAATGACCTTTCCTACCTTTTGAATTGTTGCTTGGGTAGGTGGTGGATTGGGTGGCTTCTGATGAGGTGGAACGTACGCAGTTGACATTTTTGTAGAAATTAGCAAACACTGGAATATTTAACATTTATAATGATTATCATTAAAAAAGAAAGTGTCTATTATTAGTTTCGTAAGCTACCAATAGCTTCCGGAGAGTTATAGGTAGTCCAGCCAATCAAATCCGGAATTTTTAAAAAAACCCGCTTTCAATGACACTCATTTATCACTAGTTCCAAGTAGTACCAGTGACAGCACTGATAATGAACCCTGAAAGAATTTTAGCTTTAAATTGCTATTTTGATGCTTTCAAAGATTTGGAAAATGCCATCTAGGCTTAAGAAGAGTTTCAAAATGCTGTCAGTCTATATTGCTACATTATTATAATTTATAATATAGACCTAATATAGATAGATGTATGGTACTGGGGGATAGGGGATCAGAGTCTGAAAAATTATACCCAGCTTCTTTTTTTCCAAAGTAGATTAACATGTGCACATCTGAAAACAAATCTACCAAAGGCTGAGAAATAAATTTATTGTAAACATTTTGTGTGTGCTAATTATTATGATTAAAATATAGGCCTAAATATGTATATAATTACCATAAAGGTTTAGTGTATCTTTAAAAAAAATCTTGTTACTTTAGTTAAATGAAACTAATTATGGGAAAAGTTTAGAAATTTTTTTTTGTTTTGATTCTAACAAATTTTTTACTCAGATTCAATACAAAAATGGCAGAATTGGTAGAATTAATGCAACAAATTGTCTATTTTGAAAAAGCTACTTTTCTGGCTTTTAATGTTGCAAAAGAATTAAAATAACTCTGAACACTTTCAAAAACAATACCAAATTTAAGTGAAATTATTCTGTCAAAAATAAAATGTAAACATTACACTCTTGAAATTTTCAATTTTCATTTCGATATTCATGATTGCGTTTGAGGTGAAAATCAATTTTAAAACGGAACGAAAACGCATTGTGGAAAACTTCAAATTCAATTTCGCCTGATGATCACACATCGTACCTGCCTTGAGCCTGCCCTGCACCCCCCCAACCCTATTGATTTTCTAGAGGGAGATATGTCTTCTGAGTATTAATGGTCAATTGGGTTACTATTGTTTATCTATAACACAAATTAATTTAACATCTATGAATCACTATTTACTTTTAATGCTATGCAGAATCAATGTTTTTAACAGCATAGAATATGATGAAAACATAATTTGCGATACATAAAAATGAAATAGCCTATATAAAAAGAAAAATATTAAATAAGTGTTAGGCACTTTGATGAAAATTTCAAAACATTTTTAAAAATATAAAAATACTACAGCTGTATAAAGCGTGAAGAATATGTTACAAAAACCCCAAGATCAACTTTCTAGCTCAAGTGGTTCAAAAGTTATGAATTTTTTAGTAGGGACTTCAAAACCACTTTTTCACTATGACTATGGTATTTTCCTCCACATTTTGCGATCCTCATTTTGCTTTTTTTTTTAACGCCTATAACTTTACTATACAATGAGACAAAAATATAATATTTACAGGGAACATAGTTAAATAAGAGTACTTCTAAATAAAGCCACAAAATATAAGTTTGTTTTTGTAATGTGTTGCAAAAATTAAATTTATAAAAAAAAATGTCCTATTTAAAAAAAAAATTATAAATATGCTGACTCTTCACTTATTTGTAATTAATTAATTAATTTTGTTTAAATATATTTTTTTACATTTTCCCAAAATAATAATAATGATAATAATATTCTTAAAATATTAATTTCAATTTTTCTGTGGAATTCTTTATCATTTATAAGCATAAACAAATAATACAGGATTATTTGATTCATTTATTTAAAATTTATGATTGCACTTTTATTTTACCATTTTCTACATATGTATATTATATATTATTCCTATATGAATATGACAAAACAATCAGTATGTCATTTATTTTAAGTTTGTAATCTTGTTTTACAAATCAACATGTATTATTAGAATCAACTTTAGCTGTTAATAGAAAATAAATAAGTTCTAGTCATTTGCTTGAGGTAAGTACACGTTTTTATGATTGTTCTTTTCTTTAGTAATATTTTAAGTAATTCTTAATTCTTGGATTATTGTGCCGGAAAGTGTTTTTTTTTCTTCTTTGAGAAACTGAGGATTATATAATAATTCTCTTGTGGAATATTGTGATATGTGATTAAATATAGGATATTTCAATACCAAAGGTAAGTGAATATTTTTAAAATTTTTACTTAGTTTATGCCTTAAGAATCACAATATTCATTAAAATATAATTAAATATACTAAAATATCATTACATTAACTACATATAATTTATTATAATAGGCCCTACAAATAAGTTTGGTTGGGTCTTGGCCTAAACCCTAATATAGTATACTTTTGTATTATACTATGTCTATACTAGGCCACTTATGGACATTATATATACAAATAAATATTTATCTATATAAATAAATAAATATATAAATGTAATAAATAGGGGTGTGCTGGATCCGTTTTTTCCAACCGGATCCGGATTTTCTTATGCGAAATCCGCCGGATCTGGATTCCGGAATAATCCGGATTCCGGTTTCTCCCGGATTCCGGCACTATTGGTAGATACTTCGGTAAGTCAAGGTGGACTACTACTTTTTGTGTATGGGAATTCGCAATCGGCGCCAAAAAATCTGAGTTTTTAATTTTCCGATGTGTGTGTCTATTTATTATTAAATTAGTACTTTCGATATATATTTGAGTTCCGTTCCATTTGGATAAGTGTCTTACGAGAGACGCCATGTTTCTACGCGTTCGCAGCAGGTCATGCAGCTCGCTCAACCTAATTTCGCCATGGGGTTGGCCACGCCACCCTTTTTAATGGCGGAAGTTGACGATACTTAGGAAATATTAATATATTATCTAGGGGTGTGCCGGACCCCGGTCCGGAATCCGGTTCCGCCGGATTTTGCACTATCCGGTGAAATCCGGTTCCGCCGGATTTACATGTATCCGGAACAACCGGATTCCGGAATCCGGAATAATCCGGATTTCGGAATTTGCCAGATTTTGTGACTCACCGGATCATAATCTGAAATAAAAGTAATTCTCTTTCCCGAATTTCACACGATCACGATACATTAATCGATTGTTTCGAGCGTTGAGCTTGTTTAATGTTTAATATTCCGTACATACCAGAGGCTAGAGTCAGCACCGCTAATAGTGGCCAATAGTGTAGGGACTTTGATAAGAAAATGTAAACTTTTTGTAAAAATAAACCAATGGCATAGTTGAAAAGATGTAATTTTTTAAAGAATTATAACACCAAAATCATATTTTTAGCTGTTGTAGTTTTAAAGTTATGAATTTTTAAAGTACGACTTGGTTTGTCATTTTTTAACATGGACTGCATCTCCACATTCTGTGATCTCATTCCACCAATCCCGTCATGCGCAATGACTATATAGTTTATATAAGGCAACGCATTCCCTGCCTTATCACTAAAATACTGTTTAGACTTAGTTTAAACTTTCAACTTTGGCACATGAATAATTAATTAAAGCTTTCCCTGACCAATGGTTTAATAGTTTTTGCACACGGCAAACTCTTATGAATGAAACTCTGAGGTAGTACTACGATACAGTTATGCAAGTGGCTGTGAATGGTTGCCAATGACAACGTGTTGCACACGGTAAATTCTGATCATTTATAATATGGATTCTACCGGGTTGTTAAAGCTCAAATTAAAACATTCCAGTTTAAATGTCTTTAAATGCATTCTGAAACACAAGTTATCAATTATTTTGATGTAAATAGTGATAATAAATTAATATTTCCTAAGTATCGTCAACTTCCGCCATTAAAAAGGGGGGCGTGGCCAACCCCATGGCGAAATTAGGTTGAGCGAGCTGCATGACCTGCTGCGAACGCGTAGAAACATGGCGTCTCTCGTAAGACACTTATCCAAATGGAACGGAACTCAAATATATATCGAAAGTACTAATTTAATAATAAATAGACACACACATCGGAAAATTAAAAACTCGGATTTTTTGGCGCCGATTGCGAATTCCCATACACAAAAAGTAGTAGTCCACCTTGACTTACCGAAGTATCTACCAATAGTACCAAAATCCGGAATCCGGGAGAAACCGGTATCCGGATCCGGCGGATTTCGCATAAGAAAATCCGGATCCGGTTGGAAAAAACGGATCCGGCACACCCCTAATATTATCACTATTTACATCAAAATAATTGATAACTTGTGTTTCAGAATGCATTTAAAGACATTTAAACTGGAATGTTTTAATTTGAGCTTTAACAACCAGGTAGAATCCATATTATTATAAATGATCAGAATTTACCGTGTGCAACACGTTGTCATTGGCAACCATTCACAGCCACTTGTATAACTGTATCGTAGTACTACCTCAGAGTTTCATTCATAAGAGTTTGCCGTGTGCAAAAACTATTAAACCATTGGTCAGGGAAAGCTTTAATTAATTATTCATGTGCCAAAGTTGAAAGTTTAAACTAAGTCTAAACAGTATTTTAGTGATAAGGCAGGGAATGCGTTGCCTTATATAAACTATATAGTCATTGCGCATGACGGGATTGGCGGAATGAGATCACAGAATGTGGAGATGCAGTCCATGTTAAAAAATGACAAACCAAGTCGTACTTTAAAAATTCATAACTTTAAAACTACAACAGCTAAAAATATGATTTTGGTGTTATAATTCTTTAAAAAATTACATCTTTTCAACTATGCCATTGGTTTATTTTTACAAAAAGTTTAAATTTTCTTATCAAAGTCCCTACACTATTGGCCACTATTAGCGGTGCTGACTCTAGCCTCTGGTATGTACGGAATATTAAACATTAAACAAGCTCAACGCTCGAAACAATCGATTAATGTATCGTGATCGTGTGGAATTCGGGAAAAAGAATTACTTTTATTTCAGATTATGATCCGGTGAGTCACAAAATCTGGCAAATTCCGAAATCCGGTATATTCCGGATTTCGGAATCCGGTTGTTCCGGATACATGTAAATCCGGCGGAACCGGATTTCACCGGATAGTGCAAAATCTGGCGGAACCGGATTCCGGCACACCCCTAGTAATAAATGCTATTTATCCCTCTCCTTAAATCATTTATAATAGTATAGTATAATTACTGTTGTAATACTTTTACTAAGCCAATCTAAGTCAAAGACAAGTGCTTATCAATCCCATGTCAATGTCAGCCATGTCCATGGCAACCAACCCAAAAATTAAAACCACTGATATATTATAAGCCAATAATAATAATTATAATTATATGTTATAAAACATTTTTTATTTATATACAATGATTTATTATTAGTTATATTTCCCATTTACATTCTGGATAACCAAATTAATTAATTATTAAATACCCCACAGCTGCTATCGATAATTGGCAATAAGCAGACAAGCATTGTGGCCATGATGACAAATTACATAGCCTAAAAAAAATGAAATCTGGGACTTTCGTTTTTGAAGCCTACCCATTGGATATGTTGTAAATGAACCTATAAACTAAAGGTGGGGATCATTTTTATTATGGAGCGCATTTTAAAAAAAAATTATTGATGAGTGAAGTTTACCTATTTTTAACTTCAATTTTAAAAGCTTTAACCTTGAAAAAAAAATCAAACTCTCAATCCAACAAGCAAGATGTCGGCTTTAAGTTAGTGGCGGATTTGGAATTTATTATTATGCTAAAAATCGATTATAAAAGACGAAACAATGATGCCCCCAGTAAATTAAAAAATGGAGGGCGCCATTTTGACAAAGAAATTACGATACCTGTTTTTTTGTTATTTCCGGGTGATATGTCTTGAAAATCAGATTTGAAGCAAAATTATAAGACTAGACACAAGAAATACAATTTTAAGTGCACCACAACCTGTCTAAGTCTAAGTCTTGACGCCAGCACACTATTTTATTGCTGATGCAACAATTTGGAATTTCACATACCTACTTCCTACTTAAGAATAAGAGTGATTTCAGTGATGTAATTATTTGTAATTAATTTTTAAAATACTGCAATTCATCAATCTATCACCAATTAAAAGTTGTTTTTTTTTTAGAAAACTACTAATACTAGATACTTCGATGAAACAAGGGAGACTACTACTTTTTGTGTATCGGAAATAGAAATCGGCGCCGAAAAATCCGAGTTTTTCATTTTCCGATGTGTGTGTCTATTTATTATTAAATTAGTACTTTCGATATATATTTGAGTTCCGTTTTTGACCTTATAATTAGTTAGGCATCTTGACCTACATTTTAATCAATTTCTTTTTCATTTACAATCAGTCAGCTTTGAGAAAATCCTTGGTAAATCTAACGCAACTTTCATCATTAAAATTAAGTCGAAGTAAAAGATTTGTCACTACCAAATTTTTTTTGCATCTGGGGAATGTATTGATCTACACGTATGCCAATTTTCACAGCGATAAGTGTCTTACTATAGACGCCATGTTTCTACGCGTTCGCACAACCTAATTTTGCCATGGGGTGGGCCACGCCCCCTTTTTAATGGCGGAAGTTGCCGATACTTAGGAAATATTAATTTATGACCACTATTTACATCAAAATATTTGATAACTTGTATTTCAGAATGCATTTTGAAGACATTTAAACTGGAATGTTTTAATTTGAGCTTTAACAACCCGGTAGAGTCCATATTATAAATTATCAGAATTTACCGTGTGCAACACGTTGTCATTGGCAACCATTCACAGCCACTTGCATAATTGTTGTATCGTAGTACTACCTCAGAGTTTCATTCATAAGAGTTTGCCGTGTGCAAAAACTAATATACCATTGTTCAGGGAAAGCTTTAATTAATTATTCATGTGCCTAAGTTGAAAGTTTAAACTAAGTCGACCCTAAACATTATTTTAGTGATAAGGCGATGCGTTGCCTTATATAAAGTATATAGTCATTGCGCAAGACGCGATCAGCGGAATGAGGTCACAAGATGTGGAGGTTTCGTCCATGGTCCATAGTAAAAAATACCAAACGAACTCACACTTTAAAAATTCATAGCTCAAAAAGTACTTAAGCTAAAAATTGATTCTGGTTTCATTTTTTTATTTGAAATTTGCTCTAACTTACTGTGTTATTAAACAAATTATTTCAATTTTTTTAAATTTTGTATTCAGTGCCTAGTAATACTAATAGTACTAATACTACTAATAGCCACCTAGTAATAGAAGCTATTATAATTAGTAGAGTATCATGTCCAATAGTACCAATAATAGCCTCACATCAATTGTCAAAATCAACTGCCATTGGCAATAGTGCTAATAGTAATTTAATAGCTCTCTACTCTCTGGAAGAAGCTTACTATTAAAGTATTATTGGCCATTTCATTGTTGGCGTTTCATTGGTCATTGGTAGTTAACTACAACTTTGAAATAGCTCCCTAGAGAAGCTATTATTGGTTGCAAACTATATATAGCCGCAGCCGCGCAGCCTTAAAATGGTTAAAATTAAAGAAATGATTAACTACAAATATGATACTGATACAGCACGATATAATATAGTAGAGGATGCACCGGCACTTACATTTTTAACTTATATGGGATGATAGACTTGGTTAGTAAAATACTAAACAGCGAAACACAAGATACGAAGTTAAAGAATGATCTAAGTAGATTTTAGTGCTTTTTGAACTACTATTAATGAAATATTTGCAACTTATTTATGCTATTTAAGGCTGAAATGATTATAGATTAATGTATAAGTGAATCATAAACGTATAAAGTTAACTCATTCAGTAAACAGATATACACATTAAAAACTTCTTAAACTAACAAAATTTATTTGGTACCTGAACACTGAAGTTAAACAGCGGATATGATTAACATGTCTTTGTTTGGTAATCCTGACTTGGCCTTTAGATGTACCAGATTGGCAATTGATCCTACATAAAATTTGTTTTGAAAAGCTTACGCTAATTAATGGTTTAATTAAATGTTTAAATCTATGTTAATGAAAATTTATACAACATAAATATATTAAGCAAGTTATATTCAACAATTCATATACTTAAATGTTATATTATTGATTATGAATGTAGGCAATCTTTAAGCATGCTTTTTTCGACGTGTGCAGAGCAAATCAGTAAAATTATACGGATCTTTCCACTAAACTTGATTGAGTACTACTATACTATGCCCCGGCAGTACACTTCAATAACAACAAGCTATGTATACCATACATTACTCGAGGCTACTTTTTGAGATTGCACTTTGATAATTTATATAAAGCTTTTGACTCTATAAATATAAATTTAGTTTATTGCAGCACATACACTAACTCAAAGAATTCAAGTAAATGTAAGAAAAATAAATGTAGAGTGATTTATTGTTATTTTTGTATGTGTAAATGGCTGTAATATGATTGTGTGGTTGTTTTTTTTCAAGTAATCTATATTAATTTATAAGATAAAACAATAGGCTCTAGGTATAGGCTACATAAAAAAATGATCATATTGAAATCTCTTGTCAATGGTATAAGTGGCATGCATTAAATGAAATTACATACCTAAATACTTGACATTGAATCTAAGTCCTTATACATGGATCAATGCGGAAATGATATTTCTTAAAGTAATTCATTTTAAAATTGTTAATTTATTTCGCTTTCCTAGTTGGCCGCACCACAATGTAAATTAATAAATCATGGTACAGAACAGTATATATTTTAGCTGTTATGCAATAAATATTACACTTTCTTTTAACTTCCACAAAGATTTATCCTGTGTTTTTAACGTTTATAAATCGCCAATTTCTTGAAATTTTATTTTTAAAGAAGCCTATCCATTATAATAATTAGTCATAAGTAACTGAAAATGGGAAATAGCGTCCGTGAGCAGTCGAGCGTGAGCTATTAATGCCCCCCGGCACACCACCACACGAGCCAACGCTTGGTTCCTCCACCCCCCCCCCTTCACCGGACCGTGCAGGAGCACGCCGTGAACCTCTCCCTCCTGGCCTTAGGGGGAGTCCGGTTGACCGAAAACGCTGCGTTTAAAGCTTTCGCAGTCCGCTCTCCCCAAAGACTGGGTGGGTTTGCTTCCCTTCCATCCGGAGGAATGGTGTTGCGTTGCCACCCCCACCACCCATGGAGTCTTTTGGTTGGGACGATCAGCTGGGACGAAACGGTCGCCTATGAGCGGCATTCTCGCGGTTGCGTAGCTAAAATCATCGGCATGGGTTTTAAACCACCACCCAAGCATCATATCCATCAATGGCACCAACTAATCATGTAACGACATTACTACTCCCATTGCGTTGGAAGTCATGAGGTCGACCCGGGTTTTTTTAGCTTCGGAAGAACAGTACCTCCCTACTAGTCTGCCACGCCACAAAGAGGCAAAACCCATGTGGATGCCCCCTAGACGTGTTCCTCACGAGCAGGAGCCAGTCAGTCATAAGTAATGAACAATTCCACTAGACAGTTCATCAACACAACACGATTTTGTTCGAACATTTTTTTTTTTTTACCTATTAACGCATTTACTAAATACCATATCCATTGAAATTGGGACTCGTTGCGTATCTAAGGGGGCAACCGCCTCAGTCGGCACTTTTGTTCATGTTATTACACACTGTATAAAAATATGTGCAGCTTCTCTGGGCAAAGCCTGAAAATGGTGGCCATAGGCAGTGGCATGGCTAAAAATTGTCCCACCCAGAGTGGACCATGAGTATGTGACTATCTAAGATAGACAGTAAACATTTTTTTTTTTACTAAACTGAGATTGAAAGTGGGACAAAATTCTAACCGTTCTATACACTCGTACAAGTTTGCTAAACCAGGACAATTACGGTCAAATCCTAGTTATTGACATGGGTTTGACTTTTTAATCCACATTAAGCTATTACTTTATAAATAAAAATTAAAAAAACCTTTCTCCCTGCATTAAATTATTTACTAAATATTAAATTATAAAAAAGTAATTATCACGTAGTTGAATGTACAATATGACTAAGGTTACCAAACGTCTCGAAAAAACGGAATTGTCCCGCTTTTTTAACGATCGTACCCGTTATCCCGAAAAAGTCTCTCGCGATGCCTAAATGTCTCGTTTTTTTTTAAACAAACACATTTTCTAAGCAATAAAACTTCCTAATTTATAATATAGCTTCAAATAATATTTTGGCTAGCTGTGTAGCCAGTGCCAGTAGTGATGTGGGCTCGCGTGATGGCTGCACCATTCACTCTCCACCACAGTGTCGATGCCATATATCTTATATGTAAATGTATAGTGAAAGACACGAGACTTGAAGCCGCGGTGGGTGTTGGGGGGGGGAAGGATGTAACTGTGCAGAAAACAAGTTTGATTCCACGACCGCTACGTGTAATGTGTTAGTCTTATGTGTGATCCCTACCGACCTGTTCGTGTCAGAGTGACAGGTGTTTGTTTTGGGTGTTTTTTTAAATTCTTAATTTTTTTAAATTAATTTTTTTATTATCTTCTCATGTAAACAGTAATCATCCCCAAGCGTCAATGTAAGTTTATGAATGAGTATTCCAAAGAGTGGAACTATATTAAAAAAGGATGCTATGAAAGTGAAGCCAAGTGCACAGTTTGCAATAATGTTTTTGGTATTGGTCATGGTGGACGTTCAGGCATAAAACAATACATCACATCAGTAAAACATAGGAAAAGACTGAGTGCCCCAAGTAGATTTCTAGGTTAGATTTCATAGTTAAAATGAGCATATTTCAATAAACAGTTCCCGGCCGAGGTCCCCGGGCCTCTCTTTTACTGGAGGTTATTCCCCCCACCCTCCAAAAAAAACAACAACAAAAAACAAAAAAAACAATAACAATCAAAGAACCAAACAACCGTCCTTGAAAGCGTCCCGTTTTTTCCAAATCATTATTTGGTCACCCTAATGTACACGGACTTAAACTTAAAGAACATTGGCTTCATTAATCTGTACCGCCGCTGTAAACGTAGTAATAAGGGCCCGAAGTTAACATCTGCGCCATCTATACCTGTATACACTTCCTGTCATTCTTACACTGCAAAATTTAAGAATTTGTGAAAATGAGCGACAGATATGATAGAGCAATCACAGTCTTTTCACCTGATGGCCACTTATTTCAGGTGGAATATGCACAGGAGGCTGTTAAGAAAGGATCAACTGCGGTAAAATAATATTGTTCTGTAACTATCTTAGTCTTAGTCATAGTCTTAGTCCTTAGCCTTAGTCATAGGCCATAGGCTTAGGTCGTTATGCTTAGGCTTAAGCCTAAGCCTAAAGAAAGAGCCTTTTACTTATAATCAATTCACTGGATTCTTGGGTAGGCTAAAAAAATTAATGACGATTTTCCAGTGGTAAACCTATAAATTTAAAAAAAAAAAAATGGGTAAAAAGTGGTAGTTAGTGGTATGGGTTTTTCCAAGAGTTGTCTCATCCTAAGCGAACTTAAGAATCTTAACTAGATACTTCGATGAAACAAGGTAGACTACTATTTTTTATGTATCGGAAATGGCTGTCGGCGCCGAAAAATCCGAGTTTTTAATTTTCCGATGTGTGTGTCTATTTATTATTAAATTAGTTCTTTCCACATATATTTGAGTTCCGTTTCCGGCCTTATAATTTGGAAGACATCTTGGCCTACATTTCTAGCCAGCTATTTTGCTTTTTTCAATCGACCTTTATTTTGAAAATCTTTGGTATATATAAGGCATCTTCGCATACAAAATTTTTTGTGAAATAATAAGATAAGGTCCTTTTTGATTAAATCTGTATGAGCATTAGATATTGATCTATATCTGTGCCAAGTTTCATTGATGTAGGTCGTGTCTCACGTTTGTTACACTTGTCACAGTGACCCATATCACCATAAGGTGGCTCAGCCAAATTTCGACATGGCGTGGGCCACGCCCCCTTTTTAATGGCGGAAGTTGCCGATACTTAGGAAATATTTAATTATTACCACTATATACATCAAAATATTTTATATTTTGTGTTTCAGAATGCATTTTGAAGACATTTAAACTGGAAATGTTTTAATTTGAGCTTTAAAAACCCTGCAGAGTCCATATTATAAATGATCAGAATTTTCCCTGTGCAACACGTTGTCATTGGCAACCATTCACAGCCACTTGCATAACGGCTACGTCGTAGTACTATCTCAGAGTTTCATTCATAAGAGTTTGCCGTGTGCAAAAGCTATTAAACCATTGGTCAGGGAAAGCTTTTATTAATTATTCATGTGCCAAAGTTGAAAGTTTAAAATAAGTCGACCCTAAACAGTATTTTAGTGATAGGGAATGCGTTGCCTTATATAAACTATATAGTCATTGCGCATGACGCGATCAGTGGAATGAGGTCACAGAATGTGGAGATGAAGTCCATGTTAAAAAATGACAAACCAAGTCGTACTTTAAAAATTCATAACTTTAAAACTACAACAGCTAAAAATATGATTTTGGTGTTATAATTCTGTTTAAAATTAGCTCTATTCAACTGTGCCATTGGTTTATTTTTAAAAAATGTTTACATTTTTGACCAAAGTATCTATCTTAACACTGGATGTAGGTTGCATAGTGCAGCATAGTATCATTAGGTAGTTTGGTAAGATCCGGGAAGTG